ACGCGCTTGCACCAAGTGTCCCCCGCGACAACATTCGTGCCTCCTCATGATGAGAGAGGCGCGCGGCTGCATGCGGGAGGGGCGGGGGACGGGCTGGAGGGTATAGTCAGAGAGAGGGAGAGACACAGCTCCATGAACATCAATTGTCGGAGCTCCACGCGAATTTCTTGGATCGGCTCTGCAGCTGCTCCGAGTCCCGAGATGAAGTCCGAAGATCAGCAGGCAACTGGACAACTGGCCTCAAGGCATCACCTGTCCTGCCTACTTCACCAACGCCTCGCCCCTGCTCCGCGAGCCAGGCCGGCGCCCTTCGAAGCGGGCTCGCGCGACATGGATGCCACGAAGGAACACCAACCTTGCCTGCCGCCCACCGTCACAATCTCCGCACCCGTCAAGCCTGAGCTGGATCGAACCGCGAGGTCGGACCAGATCGGAGGCGGATCGGATCGTGCCCGAATCGGTGCGAAGTCGAATCGGGGTGGGTTCGCAAATCGGGCTCGGCCGGAAGAGGTCGGCGTTCGTGCCGGGCTCAGACCAAGCCCGGAATCGGAACTTGGAGATCATATCTGGTTGAGGCATATTAGCAGCCCTGCCTGTCCCGTGCATCGTCGCGGTACTCCGAGAAAGACTGGGCGAGGGGTGGAGGGGGAGGTCGCGGAGTTTGGATGTGCAGGAGGCTGTGGACGCGGAGGCAGAAGAGGTGGAGGTGGAGAGCCTGGCCATCAGGGCCAGCCCATCTCTCACAGGAAGGGGCGCCGCCCCGAAGCACGCGAGCGGGAGCAACCTCTCCTCCTTGGCCCCTTCCCCCGCGGCCGGTGTGCGAGGCGTCAGCGCTGGGATTCGTTCGGCGCTACGATCTGCGAGGCGCCGCCAGGATGCCGCCGCGCGCGGCACCGGCACCGTCGCCTCGATCGTCGGCGGGCTTGCAGGGAAGATCGCCTGGGAAAGCGCCTGCGCTGCTCCTCTCAGGCCCCTCGTGCGCTCCTGCTGGTAGGGTTGAGGCACGAACAAGGCCCGCCTGGCCCAGAATGATGGGCCTGTTCTCCACCACCACCACCACCACCACCACCACCACCATAACTGAGTTAGAGGGGGGAAGGAGGTAGAGGATGAGGAGGAGGATGAAGAAGAAGAGGGGGAGGATGACCCCCTCCCCCCTTCAACTTATGGTGGTGGTGGTGGAACACAGGCCCATGACAGAAAGGGAAAAGCATGTGGAGGAGCCAAAACCGATCAGCACCGCATCGGGAAATGACGTCGAACCGGAAAGTGCGTCGGATCGAGCTGCATCGGCACGGCGCCAAACTCGGATCGGATCGGCCTCGCCAGGATGCACGGAAGCGCCGTGCAAGCGTCGCGCCACATCGGGCCGCGGGAAAGCAGGAATCGAATCGGACCGGGCCAGTCCAACTTGCCATCCAATCGGACCGTTCGGATCAGCAAATGGGCCCAGGGGCGAGTGGAAGAGGCAAGCGGACCATTGCTCCAAAACCAAAAAGACGAACCCCGAGGTGGTGGTCCGACTCTGGAAAGGCCGGACCTCAAGCCGCCGCAAGGGGTCGAGAGCTCGGGCCCCGCCCCCCCCCCGCGCGTCGGACAGCGACGGCGAGGCACAAGGGAGGGCGAGCGGGCAGGAGCAGGATGAGGCCAACGCCCAGCGGCACCAGCATCGGCAGGAGCAGCAGGAGCAGCGAGAGGACGGAGATCGACGACGAGGCTGGGGAAACCAAAAGGCACGGATACCGCTACTCCCCGGACCTCTCCCGGGGCGCGTTCTGACCAAGACTTCGAGGCGAACCCAGCGGCGGCGACGAGGGCCTCCCAGGAGGCCCCAAAAAGGGAAACGGGCGAAGGGTAAAGGTATGGGCACCTTTTCCTCCTCTGAGAGAGGCCAGAGATCGACGACGAGGCGGGCCACGAGCGGGGAGGATCGCATCGAGCTACCCCCCCCGCGGCGGCCGGAGGCAAAAGGACCCAAGGAGAGGTGCAGATGCCGCTGTGACCAGCTCGCGCCGTGACGGCGCGGACGTCCACTTCTGGCACCGTGTGGACCGTTCGGCTTTGAGCGACCGCGACTTTCGGGTGTGTGTGTGTGTAGAGGACGAAGAGATGAGGGGCAACGATCGGGGGGGGACTGGAATATGGGGGGGAACATCGACCTGGAATCAGCGATACATCGCCGATAGGTCGGCGATAGGCCCCCGATTGCGAATCCGCACGTTCCTGGGCAGGTTGGGGCTATCAGGCCCCTATCGGCGTCAGTGGGCGATGGGGGGTCGATGTATCCCCCCCTACGCCTATCCAGCCCTATCGTTGCCCCTGAAAAGACGGCATGGACAGAAACTTTCGGAGGTCGGCGCGAAATTCTTGGCTCTGCGCTAAGCTCCCTCCCCTGGCGCGCGGAGCGCGCCAAGGGCGGCGCTGGAGGCGCGGAAACGGAGGCCCCAGCGCGGATCCAAGAAATCCGCGCGAAGCTACAACAGTTTGTGTTTATGCTTATTCTCCGAGAAAGGCCAGTCGTTCGATGTCGGCCGATTCCAGGTCAAATTGGTATGCATGTCTAGATGTAGATATATAACCTTGAGCGTCCGCACCAAGGCCGTCAACGCGTCGACGCGGCGCGTGTCGTACTACATGGACCTCTCCCGAGGTGCGTTCTGCTAAGGATGCCGAGGGGAATCCAACCGTGGCGACGAGGCCCCACCCGAGAGGCCCAAGAAGGGCGAAAACGGGGACGATAGGAACACAGAACGGCATAACCATACATGTTTACCGGTCCTTCCGCATGTCTTTGATGTGCGCTGGACCCCCGTAGTGGGGATCCAACGCGGGGATCCAACGCAGATCCAAGAAATTCGCGCAGAGCGTGGAAAATACATGCTTACACACTTGTATCTTCTCCAGGAAGAGCATCGGCATCAATATGTTATTAACATCCGACTCACGGGGGGGGGCGACACTATGAGGGTGTCATTATCCAGGCGAACGACACAAGTTGTGGACACCGCTTTCGGTGGAGCTCCTCAGGAGGCCACCATACGCGCGAGGGGCGCGCCGTGATGGGTGGGGAGACGCACGTGGACGCGGCCACGGGGATCTTCGGTGCTCCGTATGGGGTCACGAAGCTGTGTGCTGGGTTGGAGAAACGCATGCGGCCCAGGCCACTGGAGCGTTCGGTGGAGCTCCCCATGGGGCCACGGAGCGCTGTACTGGGCGGGGGGGGCGCATGCGGCCGCGGCCGCGTCAGCTGGGGCCTTCGCTTGAGCTCCCCATGGGGCCACGACGCGCTGTTTGCATGCGACCACGGCCATTATTGGGGCCTTCGGTGAAGCGCCTTACGGGGGCCACGGAGCGCTGTACTGGGCGGGGGAGACGCATGCGAACGTCGCCTCTGGGGCCTTCGGTGGGACTCCCGAGGGGGTCACGAAGCGGTGCACTGGGTGGGGGAAACACGCATGGGAACTCTGGGGCTATGGTGCCACGAAGCGGTGTACTGGCCACGAAGCGGTGTACTGGGTGGAGAAAACACATGCGACCGTTGCCACTGGGGCCTTCTTTAGAGCTCCCTATGGGGCCACGGAGCGCCGTACTGGGCGGGGGACACGCATGCGAACGTCGCCTCTGGGGCCTCCGATGGAGCTCCCTTTGGGGTCACGACAAGGTGTGCTGGGTGAGGGAAACACGCATGCGAACGTGCCTCTGGGGTTCTCTGTTGGGTCACGAAACAGTGTGCTGGGTAGGGGAAGCACGCATGCGGACGTCGCCGCTGGGGCCTTCGGTGGAGCTCCCTATTAGGCCACGACGCGCTTCCACTGGGTGGGGGGAAAGCATGCGAACGTCGCCTCTGAGGCCTTCGGTGGAGCTCCCTGTGGGTCTACGAAGCGCTGTACTGGGTGGCGGAAACACGCATGCGAACGTCGCAGCTGGGGCCTTCGGTTGAGCTCTTGATTGGGCCGCGAAGCGGTGTACTGGGTGGGGGTAAGCGCATGCGAACGTCGCCTCAGGGGCCTCGAGTGGAGCTCTCAATTGGGGCACGAAGCGTTTCCACTAGGTGGGACAAACGCATGCGAACGTCGCCCCTAGGGGCCTTCGGTGGAGCTCCCTATGCGGTCACGAAAAGCGTGAGGGGGTGCCGAAGGGCAGAGGCAGGGATGGGCAGGAGGGAGGAAGGGCGGGAGGCACGAAGGAGACGCGGGCCGCTCCCAACACTACAGGATGGTTGGGAGAAAGAGGGGGTCGCGAGCCAACTGCACGACGGTGCTTTTCCCGGCGACTCCTGGCGCCAAAGGCCACCTCCGCATCTAGGGAAGCGCACGGCGGCGGGTCCGAGTCCGGCTGCATGAGGCAGATCATTTCACAAACCTGCCAGCTCCCACACACACACACACACACACACACACACCTTCCGCCCGCCCTGGCCCTGCTCTTCTCGGGGACGCGCTGACCTGGGTCAGCGCCGACGCGGGTCAGCCGAGAGCCGTGCCGCCAGGCCCTGACGCCAGCACGAAGGTAGCTCCCGAGACCCCGGGGCTCAGCGGAAGGGAGGCCTGGCCCGACGTGCGAGGCTCCAGCATCCCTGGATCCAACACGTGGACGTCTCGCTTCTACTTCCACCGCCATCCGCCGGCGGATCCGGCGCCATATTGCTGAAGAGAGCACCCCCCGATTCAAGCAGCGGAAGAAGAAACAGCATGACCACAAACTTCCGCACAAACTTTGGGATGTCCGCGCAGGTGTCTTGGATCTGCGCTGAGTCCTCCTCCCTGGCGCGCGGAGCGCGCCAGGGGCGGGGCCGGAGGCGCCGCCAGGGTGGTCCAGCGCGGATCCAAGAAATCTGCGCAGACCGTCGAAAGTTCATGCTTGTGTCTAATTTGTTCCCCGATTTCTGGAACAGCCTGCGTGGCTGCACACCCAGCTCAGGAGTGGCTTGCCTCCGCTATAGCGCTGACCCCCGTCGCCGCCCGCCCCGGGCCCTCCGATGCCAGAGGCAGGGGTGGCCATCACTCCAGCTCCAGCTGGCGCGAGCCGCACAGCTTCGCGCCCACGATGACGCCTCGTCACCCTCTCTCTCCTCCAGCTCCTCCTCCTCCCTCCCCGCCATCCTCCAGCGGCGAGCCCAGGGGGGAAGCGGGAGGGTGCGGGCCTTCTCAAAAGCTCGGAAATCCTCCAGCCTTCCAAGAAGTGTTCTAAGCCTTCCCGGAAGACACAGATAACCTCTCAGAGGGCCATCGGGCTTCTGAGAAGCCCCGCCGCCTTCTGAGAAGACTTCCTCTCCTTCTCACCACCCCCCCCTCGCTCGCCGTCGAAATATCCTGACTCCTCGGCCTGTCTGTCTCTCGGGCACGACCTCTGGATCCGTGGATCTGTGAATCCGTGGATCTGCCGCGTGGCGCCAGGCCCACAGCTCGGGGAAGTTACACCCCCCGAAACATGAGGCTAGCGCCGCCAATGCGGCCACGCAGCGCGCCGATTCTGCACGGAAACGGGACCCGTCGCTGATCGACGCGCTTTGACCCATGTTTGCATTTCCGCGGGTCTCCTCCTCACGCCCCACCGGGGGAAACAAAAAGGTACCCTTACCGTTACGCCCCGGACATCTCTCCGACGGTGCGTGCTGACCAGAATGTCGAGACAGATCCAGCGGTGGCGACGATGGCCTCTCAAGAAAGGCCCAACACATGAAAACAAGGCAAAGGCAGCGGCATCGGTACCTTGCCCTCCTCTCTGACCGCCTCCCGCTCACCTCCTCTCATGGTCCTCCTCCGTCCCCACCGCCCCACCTGCCCTCCTCACGCCCCGGCTCTGAATCCCATATCCAAGCTGCGAGCGGCCGTCGGTCGGCCGACGGGCAAGGTGCTCTACAGGGGGCCCGGGGTCCACGCCAGCATCTTCTTGTGAAGTGGCCCCTTTCTCTTCCCTCCTCCTCGTCGGAAGACGTCCGTTTCCGCGCCCTAGCGGTCTAGGCTCCAGGGCGCAATCCCGCGCATACGCGGTCGCACGGATACGCTCCGCGTGGGGCATCCGCGAACCAAATGCCCCCGTCGCCGAGGGGTCACCGCCCAGGGGCCGGGCTCGCGAGGCCGCGGATAAGGATATGCTTTTCTCCCACGACTGCTCCTTTCGGATCCTACTCCTCCTTCTGTGGGAATCCCTGGGAGCCTCCCATACCTTCTTGTTGGCTCTTGCGAATCGACGCGGATCGGCGCTGCATCGGCGCTAATCGACGCTGATCGACACGAAATCGACTCTGTTTCATCGGCTACCAGGCGTAAGTCGACGCCAGTGCGCCCAAAAAGTTGGAAACCCCGCATCGGTCTTTAGATACGCCCCCAGGGTAAACGCGGCTCCAGGGATTGGCAAACCCCGCTTGACGGACTGGAGCGCCACCGATAATGGAAAATAGCCATTTCTCCGGGACGGCACCCGCCGTACAACCACGATGACGACGACGACGACGACGACGACGACGACGACGACGACGACGACCTCGACCTCGACGACGACGACGGCGATACGACTACGGCTACAAATGCGACTACGGCTGGTTAGCGACCGCGACTACGACTACGACTACGACTAGGACGACCACTATTACTTATGCCCCAGGAGCGCTCTCACGGATCAGAAACTTGATCCTCGGTAACTCCACCCTCTGAAACTCCGATCGCAATCCTCGTGAGAACTTGCTCACATTTTCTCTCGCGTGTGGGGTAGCCCACGGTATATTGTTCGCTTGGGGAAAGGACCAGCCAATAATATTCAGCCACCGAACGTTCGTGGGAAAATATTGCCCTGGTTCACAAGGCGCTGACCAGGCGCCAACAGCAGTTCTGCCAGCAGCCATAGGCAGACCAATGTACAAAGAACTCGCGATTCAAAACGATATACAGTATTATTGCAATCCTCACGAGAAGATGCCAAACCATCCACTCGCGTGCGGGGTGGCCCACGGTGGATTATTCGCTGGGAGAAACAACCGCCCAAGAATATCAAACCATCGAACATTAGTGGGAACTGATTCCCTTGCTCCAGCAGGCGCCGACCAGACGCCAGCAGCAGCTCTGCCCACAGCAATAGAACGAGCTTTCTGAAATAACTCGCGACTCAAAAAGATGTGCATCCTCATTGCAAGCATCATGGGAAGATGCTCAACATTCCTCCCGCGTGTGGTGAAGCCCGCGGTGGATTACCCGCTGGGAGAAATAGCCGCCCAAGAACACCAAGCCCACCGAACATCATTGAGACCATATCCCCCTGTCGCCGCAGGCACCGACCAGGCGCCAGCAGCTGTTCTGCCAGCAGCAATAGGCAGGCGAGTCTGAGACTAGCGAATCAAAGCGACTATTGCGATCCTCATGACAAGATGCTCACGCATCCTCTCGCGTGTAGGGTAGCCCCCAATGGACTATTCCATAGGAGAAATACCCCCCACATACACACACATCATCCAGCCCGCCCAACAATCGAGGGAAGCTAATCTCCGCCGCGACGACGACGACGGCGAAGAGGAGGAGGAGGAGGAGGACGAGAAGGAGGAGCAGGAGGAGGGGGGGAGGAGGAGGAGGAAGAGGAGAGGGAGAGGAATAGGAGCAGGAGGGGCGAGTCTATTCCCCGCCGAGAGAAACGGGGGGGGGCAATGCCTAAAGACCTCCTGAGGTTACCAAATCCTCCTGTTCCTCCCCTCCCTGCCCGTGGCCTGCCATCGCTCGAACGTCCGTTCCCCGTGCACTTCTCGGTTTCGCGCGTGCTTTTTGTTCTTTCTCTACATGGCCCAAGATGCTCCTCGATGGTCCTCGCCGAGAAAGAAGCGCCTGCGTCGAACGTCCGTCGACTCGAGTCGCACCCGAGTCGCACTTGAGCCGAAACCGAGTCGGAGCTGAGTCGAGCCTGAGCCGAACCCGAGCCGAGCTTGAGTCGAGCTGGGGCCGAACAGATCCATCGGAAGAAGGCCCCCCAAAAAACGAGCACCGAACGTCCGAATGGTGCCAAGGGGTCCCGCCCCGCGGCCCCGACCCGCCCCGACCCCCTGCCCCGGGCCTCCTGCTCCCGGCCTTCTCCCCGGCACAAGACGCCCTCCTGGCCCCGGTCCCCAGGGCCCCCCCCCCTGCAAGGCTTGTCCCCCTACAGGGGGATTTTCTGGGCTCGCCCCCCTGCAGGGGAGCCCAGGTGCCCGTGGCAGAAGGCGCGGGGGAGCTCGTCGCGCGGGCCGCGAGGCCCGGGGCGGAGGCCCCCCGGTGCCCTCGTCGCTGGGGGCGGCCCCGCGGCCCTGCGGCCTGCCGGGGCCACCCTGGCGAGGACGTCCAGGACTGCCGCCAGCACGCAGCGAGCACAGGTTTTCCAGGAGTGCCGTCGTCTCGTGGCGATCGCGAGGCATTCCAGGACCTCCTATTCGCATGCGTCCACCGATCCGACCTCCTATTCGCATGCGTCCACCGATTCGAAACTAGAGGCCTCCTGGATTGGGTCGGAGGATCTCGCCGCATCGCCGATGCATCGACGATGCGTCGGCGAGGCATCGGGGACGTCGGCGTCGCGGCCGCATCGCCGATGCATCGCGACGCATCGGCGATGCGGCGCGTTCCTCCGGCCCCATCCACTCCGATCCCACCTAGGAGTCCTACAATCACGTAGGAATGAAAGGCATACAGGCTCAGCACTTTGGAAACAGGTGGCGAGAGATACGATCAAGGTAATTACCCGCGCTTGGCCTTGGTTGTAAGACGTGGGCGGCACGGATTAGCTAAACCCCTGAGCTGGGCCTAGCCGAAATGTCCGCAAGAGGACTGGCCTGGCGCGGACCCCTCTCTTTGAGAGGGTGGTCGCTGTCTCGGAGGAGTGCCCCAGAAATCCGAGGCGCTGGACACAATTGGAGCGGCCGTTCTTTGGGCGTCTTCGGTCTCCGAATGCCCTCGCTTGGCCCCTGGACCGTCAACAAAACGATGCAGGAAGAAAAACGGCCCTATAGTTAAGTCGGGCATGTCTCTCTACAGGAAGAATTGTCAAAAAGTCAGAGAAATAATATGGGGACGATGTTTCTACAAATTCTGACTATTTTTGCATATGTTTGTACTGCATTTCGTTTTTCTTGCAACTGTAGGAGGACATGCCCGACCTAACCCTAGAGGGAAGCTGTCCAGACTTCCAGGGGCCCAAGCATCGAACAGACTGGAGCGGCAGGATGTTCAAGCCGGTCGAGGCACCAGCAACGGGAGGGGTGACGGTCGGTACCGCGGGGGAGGAGGGGGGGGCTGGGGCCCCGAGTGCCGGTAACGCTTGGGCGGGGTGGGGCACGTCAGGGCGGGGGTGCGCTGCGATCGCCGGAGCATGCGCGCGAGCACGAGCATGTGGGGGTGGGGTTCCAGCCCCCCCCAAACGAGAGGACCAACCACTTGGCGCAAGATTAGACTTTCAGAGGCCCGCGCACAGCGTCGAAACTTGTCTACGAAATTTGTTCTGATTCGACCTTCGGGGGCGTCCAAGAGGGGGGCGTCCAAGACGGCGGGGCCGTAAATCATGGCAGGCGGCATGTGCGCGGCCCAAGGGGGGGCCACGGACGCATTGAAAGAAGAAGAAGAAGAAGAAAATAATAATAATAAGACGAATAATAATAATATTAATATTAATAATAATATTAATAATGATAATAATAACAATACCAATAACAATAACAATAACAATAAGAAGAATAAGTATACTAAGAAGAAGAGGCGCCATGAAATCTGGAGAGGGTTCGATATCATGGCCCCCGCCATGACATCCCCCCCAAAAAAAACATCTCCCCCCTCTTGGCCGCCCCCGAGACCTGCATGCGATTGGACGGTTTCCCCCAGGCGTAGGCGACCCGGGGAGGGGAGGGTGAGGAGGGGGAGGAGGGGGAGAATTCGGGAGAATTCGGCGACGACGAAGTCGAGTTTCGCCAAAGAGACGAGCGCCGCCTCGGGACCCAAAAGCGCACAAGGGACCCTGGCGCGGCGTAAACCAAAATTCTGAGGCCCCAGGAGATTCTGAAAACCCTGGGAGCCGTGGTCTCTAATGTGGAAGGTCCGTGCCTTTGGAAAGGCGAGAGATAACGTACTTCCCATTCTTTGTGTGAGGGCTACAAGGGCCGAAAAGCCCTTTAACACTCCCCCCATCAGTGACTTTGGCTCTTCGGCCACAGACTGTGCGCCACCAGGTGGAACAATGCTCAGCATATTCCACGTGTTGCAGGCCCCCGACCCCTCGGACCGATTGAGCCCCAGGGGTCCTGGGCTTGCAAATCCTGAGCCACCGCTTAGTGGTCAGGGACCCCGAATGCTTGCTGATTGCCTCGTTGCACAGCCTACATTGCCATCTACTACTGGAGGAGCTAAGGCAGTGCGGGGAGGAGGAAAGGGCCTGGCTCATCTCACTCACCCTCTGCCTGGTCCTCTCCTTGGCCTCCTTCCTCTCGGAAATCTGGGCCGACGGGTCACGAGGGATAGCGTGGGTATGGGCACGGAGGCGACGTTTCCAGACGAGGGCCGCGGTCGCTCGGGCCCACTTGTACATGCGCATCTGCTGGCGCGGCAGGCTGTGTAGCTCAGCGCCCCGCTCAGCCAGGGCGTCAGCCACCGCGTTGCCGTACCAGGCCTCCTCGTCCAGGCGTTGTGCACGCATCCCTTCCTCGTCGGTGCGGCTGGGAACGTGATGGAGCTCGACGATCGAGGCAGGGTCGTCGAGCTCGGGGCTGCGCTTCTGCAGCGCGTGATGCATCAGGTCCCAGATTTCGCGGTTGGAGCGCTGCTGTCCGAGTTTGGCGTCGTGCGATCGCTGCCAGCCCCTGATGGCCACATCTGAGTCCGTCCATATGCGCACGCGTCCTGTGATTGATCGCCAAGCCTGGACGATAGCCCACAACTCAGCTCTGTTGTTGGTAGGGGGAGGAGGGGGAGGAGGAGGAGGAGGAGGAGGAGGAGGAGGAGGAGGAGGCGGAGGACGAGGAGGAAGAGGAGGAGGAGGAGGAGGAGGAGGAGGAGGAGGAGGAGGAGGACGGGTCGCCTAAGCCCTTCGGAGAAACCCTCCACATGCGATGGCCACCACGTTGCTGTTACCCCAAGGGGCGGGGCGGCCAGCCCGGGACGGCCTCCAACGACGGCTTCGTCGTGCCTCTCGCGCCCCGAGGACGCCGCTGCATGGCCTGGGTCTGTCACGGTGTCTTCTGCATGCCAGGGAGAGGAAGATAGAGAGAGAGAGAGAGAAAACCAAAAAAAGAGAGAGAGATAAAGAAGAACAACCACATCAACATAAACTTCTGGCGCTCCGCGCGGATTTCTTGGATTCGCGCTGGACCTCCTTCCCTGGCGCGCGGAGCGCGCCAGGGCGGCGAAGGAGGCGCCGCCAGGGGCCCTGGCGCGGATCCAAGAAATCCGCGCGTAGCGTCAAAAGTTTATGGTTATGTGGTTTCTTCTTCCGATAAGAGAGAGAGAGAGAGAGAGAGAGAGAGAGATGGGACGCACAGACACATACTAATACCATGTGTTCTCCTTGGAGGCGCGTCCGCCCCGAACATACAGTATACCCATCTTGTAGCAGATTCCCGAGCGGTGTGGCCAGAAAGCGCCCGCCACGACGCATTTACTATAAGATGTCACGGTGCGCGCGTCGCCCCTGGGGGGGGGCGACGCACGCATATTATTAGTGTGTTGGGGTGACGCCGAAGAAACGAGCGGCAGAGAGGTCCAACGGACACGCAAACAATGCACGGCTCGGTCGCCACTGGCGAATAAACCGTCCATCACTTCGGGCGCCCGTGTGTCCTTCCACTCTCACCTTCGCTGGTGTGCGCGAGCTTCTTGGCTTTGCCGGCTGGCTTCGAATGCGAAGCAGTTGTCGGATAGTACTGAAGGGAAGAGGACGTGGATCATGACGATGGTAATGCCAAGAGCCACGAAGGTCAACGGCAACTTACCCTATGAGCGATGGTAGTGACATGCGTGAGGATAACTACTTGTTCGCACCACGGACAAATGCACGCATTTCGAGTTGGCTTACGTGCAGCTCTTAGTTCACTTCCAGCGCTCAAGGCAATCGAGGTAATGAAGAAATTGTTTGCACCACTGTGCAATCGTGCAAACATGCGGAGCCATGAACCGCATGGACATCGCCATCGCAGTACAATTCAATACCAGGAAACTGAAAAGACACATGGCTGGATTCATATGCGGAACACGTTGGAGGCACGCGCAAGATACGCGTCTGGTGGGCTTGCGAAGCCAGCCATAGAACGACTGAGCGATGGATATACGCCTGGCCACACGTGCACCCACTCTCGCCCGGCCGGCCACATCATGCGTATCCAGCGTCCTGGTTCAGCGTGGTGGTGTGCTCACGCGAAAACGCTGAGAGAGGAGCCATCAACAAAAAGGAGAGGCGGAGCGGAATGGCATCCAAAGACAAGAGTGCAACTGTCTCACTGCCGCAAAGCAAACGAATACCACATATGTGTACTCAACGTCTCAGCTCAGCTGTCGTGAATCAGGCCTTGGTGACGCCCCCAGTGGGAGGGGCTGGGGGCACAGACATGGCAAGGGCGGGAGCTGAGTGCGTGCGACGCGCATGCCTGCAGAAGAATCTCCTCCAGGTTTCTCTTCGCCTGCCTCGCTGAGCGTTCTTCGCAGGACCTTGCTGGTCACCTTTCGCATACCAGAGCTCGGGGAAACGTGAGGGGGGCGGGGAGGCGGAAAGGACGGAGATATTACTTAGCGAAACCGCGACACCCCACGCAAGTTAGGCTGCACTGGACCGATCAGCATGAGATTAATCCACAACCAATCCAAACATTCAGAATCGCATGAGAGACACTTCGGAGATGCCTTCCTGACACTCATCTGGACCGAGCTGACAAACATAAGAAAGGATGGCGACATGGATACGCACGGGTTAGAGAGCCTCGGCGGACGAGGGAAAGAGAGAACTTTGGGGCCGCAGGGTCGAATGCCGACGACAACACGCTGGTCCATCCGACGCGTTTCTGTGGATCGTCAGGGTGAAGTGGGAAGAAGCTTGCTTCTATTGTTCTATTGCATGGCCTTCATTCCCGAAGACGCCTGGACTGGCGACAAAAGGACAGGACTGCCGCAAAAGCCACATTCGAGCCCTCCTCCTGCGGTCGGGCGAACGTCTCAACTCGACGGCTCTTGGCAAAACGAACCACAAAACGTCGTGAGGGAACCGGGCCCTGGAGCCAATGGCTTTCAGCGGGCCTGGCTGTTCGTCCTGGGAAGCTCCTGATGGCCAGGAGCCCGGGCTGGCTCCTGGGAGGCCGGCACCGTCAAGACCTGCCGGGGCCCCTTGCCATCAGGAAGCCTCCTCTTCGTAGCGGGGCGATTGCTGCCGATGCCAGGGGTAGGCCGGGCCCCGCTCGGAGGGGGAGGGGGGGGGCCACTCCGTTCGGTCTCCTCCGTCGGCCTCTATCCGTCGTGGCTGGGTGCAGACCTGCAGCCCATGCCAGGGGCAGGGAGGCAACTTTATCAGGGGCCCCGCTGCCTCGGGCAACAGAGGACGACACCATCAGATGAATCTAAGCTGCCGAAGGGCCGCGCGGGTTTATCGGATCGGCGCTGGAGCAACCAGACTCGAACTGAATCCCTGTCCCCAAGATCAGCAAGCCAAGAGCGATGGACAATCTTGGGGCTGTGCCCCCAGAAGCTGCGGGGCTCCTCCAGATCGGCACCGAGGCAAAAGGTGGTGCCAAGCATGGGGATAGGGACATGTCTTCGAACTGGTTACGGAACCCCCTCCCTGGCGCGTGGAGCGCGCCAGGGGCGGCTCTGGAGGCGCCGCCAAAGGGGGGGGGCCCGCGCCGACCCCCACGCAGTCGGCGGAGGCAGGCACTGGGCAGCGAGGCCCGCAGCGCGAGGAGCAGGGATGTGACCACCCGCCGACGGGCACGAGGACGCAGGGCAGTACAGTCAACCCGTACAGTAAGGATGCGCGGTAAGGATGCAAGGGCCTTGGACGTCAATGCCGAGGCTCTTCGAGCGGGGCTGGCCTTCGAAAGTGGTTGAGGATGGGCCGAAGATGACCGAAGAGGCAATGATGCAAGGGTACCCTTGGGAAGTCGCTCATCCTTACTGTGCGGGTTGACTGTAGCATGATGGGCCTGTTTTCCACCACCACCACCATAAGTTGGAGGGGGGAAGGGAGGTGGAGGAGGAGGAAGACGAAGAGGAGGAAGAGGAGGTGGGGGAGGAGGAGGACCCTCTCCCCCTCCAACTTGTGGTGGTGGTGGTGGTGGTGGAAAACAGGCCCATCATGCCAAACAGATACCTATCGGTCGGAACAGAGTAGGCAGAAACATGAAGATAGGAGGGCGCTGAAGGTAGACTGGGTTCCGTCCGCCACCTTGTGAGGAGGGAACAGGTGGAGCACCTCGATCATTGAAGTAGGATGGCGCTTAAAGTAAATTCGAATCTGGGAATCCAGAAATACCCACTTTCAACGACCGATGGGTAATGCACGAGGCCGGGGAGCACGCCGAGGTCGCCCACGGTGGCAGCTCGGCCGAAAACAGACCGAACCGGACACCGACCGAAGGGGGCAGGCCGCTACGTAGCAGCCCAGAACGGCGCAGCGAGGCAGCAGCGAAGAGACAGGCGACCCAACCGAGCCGACCGCACGCAGCCGACGGCAACGCAGCCGGACCGATCGAACCACGGACAACCTTGCACGCGTTCAAGCGCTCCACGCCGTCGTGCGGGGTGTCCTGCCGCTGGATCTCGGCCACCCCCGTGCCCGCCACATGGCGAAACGAGACAGGCACGTGCCCGCGGAGTGTCGGTGCGCTCTGCGGCCTGTCGTGTCACAGGGCACTGCGGGGGAGTGGTGGGACGGCTTCAGCAGAATGACAAACAAGTCTGCAAGCGTGGATCCCAACCAGTCAGTCAATGCACCGTGGATGTGGACGCGATGTGGTGCAAGCCATGTCTGTGGTGCAAGCCATGTGGCGGACGCTATGTGGTGCAAGGTCCTCGGCGGAACCTCGGCGCACCCTCCAAGTGGGCGACAAGGAGGCGCGCGGCGCAACCTCAGCGAACTCCTCAGAGGGCGGCCACGAGGCGGAAACAGGCGGCGACGCCGCGAAATCTCGGCGGACCCCCACGTGGGCAATAGCGCGGCGGACACAAGGCGGCCCCGGGTGGTGATGCGGCGACACCTCGGCGGAACCCCCCCAGGTAGATGGCAACGATGCGGCCAAGAGGCGGCCACGGGCGGCGACGCGGCGAAACGACGGCGGACCCATCCGATTGCTCAGTGATGCAATCACGAGCTCCTGAGTGCAAGCGCTGGTCAGGGGAAAAACGCATGCGCGCCAAGGGCGGCACCAGAGGCGTCCGCTGGGGGTCCCAGCGCCGATCCAAGAAATCCGCGCGGAGCTCCGAGAGCTTATATGGATATGCAGCTCTCTCGTCTTCGATCCAATGCCACGTGAGCGACGACGGGCGCACCAGCGCAAGACAGGCGCCCCCTCCCTGAGTCCACCCAGCCCGTCGCAGGCGAAGGCGCGTGCTTCGTTCGGGCGCTGCTTCACCGAAGGGGGGGCAGATACTCTGGGGGGGAGGAGAAGCGTGCACCTGTTGTGCCCCAGGGTCGGCGGCGAGCGAGGGGGGGAAATGAGAAGGAGGAGGTTTTCTCGGAAGGCTCGGAAGTGCCTTGGCCTTCTGAGAAAGTGTCCTCATAAGCCTTCCCCGAAGACACAGAGAAACCTCTCAGAAGGCGCGAGGGCTCCTGCCGCCTCCCGAGAAGGCCTCTTTTTCACCTTCCCCCCTCGCTGGCCGCCGACAGAGGGGCCCATGCAGTGCCCCGGTAGGGCACCCCAGATTTAGGTCGGGCATGTCCTCCTACAGGGGGACTATGGACGACAAATAAAACAAGTCAAAACATGTTCGAGAATAGTCAAACATGGTAGAAGAATCGTCCTCAGTTTATGTTTTACTATGTTTGAAAATTCCTCCTGTAGAGGGACGTAGAAAACCTCTCAGAAGGCGCGAGGGCTCCTGAAAAGTCCCGCCGCCTCCCGAGAAGGCCTCCTCCTTCTCACCTTCCCCCCCTCGCTCGCCGCCGACAGGGGAGCCCATGCAGGGCCCCCTGAAGGGCACCCCAGGTGCACCTGTCTCCGCCCCGGTGGGGGCTAATCTCGCGCACACGCAGGCTCGGGCGCCTGATCGCAGACGCCCATCTCGCAACGGCTGCTGAGGAAGACCAGCAGAGTCAGCAGTAGCAGTGGCAATGTCGAGATAAGGAGGGACATGGGGGGAAGCACGAATCGGGGGAGGAGGAGGGAGAGGGGGAGATCTGGAGGGAAAGATGACGAGGGGGGTGGCGCGACATGGATGGGATGTAGGAGCATGGCGAGCACGGGCAAGAGGAGGAGGAGGAGGAGGAGGAGGAGGAGGTGGATGGCGAGAGGGAGAGAATGGGACGTGCGAGGGGGTGTACGAAGAGGAGCATGAGGAAGAGGAGGCTGATCGGGAGGGGGCAGGCGAGGGCGAGAGTTAGGAGAGAGATAATTAGGGGGAGGAGCAACAAACCGACAAGGGGGAGAGGAGGACGAGGAAGAGGGGGACGGGGGAAGGGGACGACGAGTAGGGGGTAGGGGGATGTGAATCGGGAGTGGGAAACGAGGTGAGGATGATAAATGTGGGGAGGAGGAGTGTGAGGGGTATGGGGAGTGACCGTGGGGAGGGGGAAGTACAGGCGGGCGAGGGCGAGGACTGCGTCTTCTGACAACTCGTGCCATACACCAAGCTTGAAGAATCAACACAGCAATTGAAGGAACGAGACTTGACCGAGACGAGCAGGAGGGGAACGCCTTCATCGCCCACGCCGCAGGCACCAACCGGGACCGCACGAGCGACGGGTCCATCGGCGGCACGCATTGCTGGCAGGCGCGTGGGGGGGAGGGGATCCCACACTCCCTGGTCCGGGCCTGTAAAAAAATGTGCAGCCGCGTGACTCGTTGCAGAATCCCTGGCTTCAAAAAAATGAGTATATCGTAGAGGACCGATGCTCACTTCTGCCACCACACTCCCTGGTCCGGGCCTTTACAATATGCAGCCCCGTGACTCGTTCCAGAATCCCTGACCTCAGAAACGCGAATACATCGTAGAGGACAGGGCTGGACCTCAATGTCGTTTTTCGTTTTGTCGCTTTGTGTTTTGTTTTGCTCTACCTGTTTTCCTGTACCTCCCTGCCAAGACGACAAACAAGACACAGCCGAATTCCAGCAAAACCGCGTTTAGGTCCAGCCCTGGTAGAGGACCAATGTTCACTTCTGCCAAGTCTGCCTCCGCTTTGCTTCACGCCGCCTTCCGCCGAGAAAGCGCAGCGGCCACCCGATCCCTCGAAGGCGAGGCGCTTGCTGGACCGCCCTGCGCGTGTGCCCCTGCCGGTCCCAGCCGAGGACGGCCCCAACATGCAGGGCCAGAGTGCATGCAGATCCACTGCCCGGGGAATCGATCTTCCAGGACCCCAGAGGGCGGCAACTGTGGATTGGGCCACAGGGGGCCCGAGTGTATCCAGATCCACCGGCCCCCGCGGTCCAGGAGAATCGCTGCCCCTGGAGATGCTCCAGCCTCGGATTCTGATCCAGAAGCCTGAGGAAGCCCAGGACACCCATGCGGGCTCGGAGCAAGGCGAGCGGGCAAGGGACTGGGGAAACCAAAAGGTAGCGATATCGCTACGATGTGGTGCTTGTCCATGTAGGCTCATGACTGGACGAGCTCCACATCCGTCCATTGAGCTTGTCCATTCGTACATGGACGAGCGCCACCGGGCTCAGAGCAAGGCGCGCTCTAGGCGCATCCAGCCGTGGCGACGATGGTCTCCCAGGAGGACCAAGAAGGGGGAAAACGAGGCCTCTGAGGCACGAGGTGGGCCCGGGCCTGCGCTCGTTCGCGAGAGGCCCCCAAAGCCCCAGAGGTCCCACGCGCCTTTAGAGGCCCCTCCGCGGCACCTCCCGAGGCTCGAGGAGGCCCGGAAGCGTTCCACATCCTCAACCGTCGAGCATCCCCTCCTCCCTTCGGCGGCGAGCGAGGAGGGCAAATGAGAAAGAGAAGGCCTTGTCAGAAGGCGGCGAAACTTCTCAGAAGGCCTCCAGCCTTCCGAGAGGTTATCCGTGTCTTCGGGTCTTCGGGCAAAGATTAGAAACTTCCCAAAAGGCGGGTGGCATTCCGAGCCCTCACCGAACATGGCCAGGCCTGGGCCTGGAGCAGGTGCGCACTCCCTCCTGACTCAGGCAGGGAGGCGGATGCACCGATTCTGGGCCCAAGATCGGCCTGGCCGAGATCGGTGCGGCGGTCGGTGGACGTCTCAAGACCTTCAGACGTCCACGGCGATACCCAAATCGAAAATCCGCCAGACCGACATCGGAACTGACAACGGCTGGATCCGACGGACCGAAAGCAGCCCAGAAGGACCCAGCGCAGCGCAGCAGCCGACCGTACCAAGCTGACCGAATGCAAACGACTGCGAAGCAGCGAAGATTTCTTGTTCCCCCTCTCTCCCCCCCTGGAGGTCCAGATCAATGAGCTACGCGAGCAAAGGTTGCGAAGTCGTCACTGAAGATGCGAGGTGGCAAAATCTTAGAGCCTTCAACAATTCCCTTAACTCTCCAACCGTGGTGACGAGAAGTGGCTCATAAGACCGCATCTTCCCTATGGCGAATCTCATGTTCCTTCCGACTGATCCTTCGGGAGCCTGGCTTACCCTCTCATCCGTCCTCCAACTCTCGTTTCCTCGCCCTCGTCGTCGTCGTCGTCGTCGTCTTCCTGGTTCTCATGCTCCCACTACCTATCCTTCTCACTCCTGTTACCTCCGACTCGTCATCGTCGTCCTCCTCCTTCTCCTCCAGAAATCCCACCAGCCCTCTGGGCGTAGGTGGTCTAGAGCAGATCCTCTTCCACCCCTCCCTCTTCCCCCTTGGGGAGGGGTTTACCCCTCCCCCTACCCCCTCCCCTGGACCTGGACGGGGGGGGCCGCGGGTAGTTAGAGCGTCCAAGATGGCCCAAGACGGCTCCAAGAGCGCCTCAGAGAACCCAAGATGAGCTCCAAGATGGCTCAAGATAGCGCAAGATCGCTCACGATGGCTCCTAAGATGGTTCCAAGAAGCCCAAAGACGGCCCCAAGATAACTCCAAGTGGCCAAACAGCTCCCCAAGGAGGCCCCGAAGAGGCCAAAATCGTCCCAAAACCTAAGGAAAATCAATGATTTTTGCTTTCTCGCCTTTTCGCTTCCGATGGCCATCCGAGGCCTGGAGATGGCTCCAAGATGGCCCAAGAGGGCCCCAAGAGAGCCCCAAAAGAGCCCCAAGACGGCCCCAAGAGCGCCCAAGAGCACTCCAAGAGCGTTCCAAGAGGGGTCCAAGAGGCGATTTTAGGGGCTTCCGAGGGGGGACGCTAATTAAACCCCCCCTCTTGTTTGATCGACTCCCTCCAAGATGGCCCCAAAAGCGCCCCGAAGGCTCCCCAGAGCGCCTCAAGAGGGTCCCAAGAGGCGCCCAAGATGCCCCAAGGCGCCCAAAAAGCCCTCCAAGAGGCCCTCAAAAGACCCCCAAGAAGCTCCTTCCCCTCCTCCTCCTCCTCCTCCGATTCTTCCTCCTTCTCCGTCCTCCTCCTCCTCCTCCTCCTCCTCCTCTTCCCCCTCCTCCTCCTCCTCCTCCTCCGACGACGACGACGACGACGACTCCTCTTCCATCCTCCCCCTCTCGGGGTCTGTGACAGCTTCCCCCGCCCTTTGTTATTCTGCATGCTCCCCGACTTCCCTGATCACCTCAACTCCCCTGAGCATCGTTTCTGGATGGGCTGGTGGGGATACGCGAAGCGTCAACAATTTCAAATGATACACCTGCTGGCTGGCCGAGTCCTTCTTTGATGTGCCTGCTGTACCGCTTGCGCCGACATTCGACCCCGCTCTCGGACAGCCTCTGCGACCCTCGATCCCCTGCACTGGACACTCTCCACCCCTCGCGACGGCTCCTCGGACACTCGCAAGCCGGGCCATGGGGCGGGGCGACAACACAGACGGGTCTTACGCAGGGTGACGTCTCGACCTTACGCGTTCGCTTGCGCGGACCGCCAGCGTGGCACGCCACATTGGAAACGCGGGCTCTCATGATGGGCCCATTTTCCACCACCACTACCACAGGTAGGAGAGGGAGGAGGAGGAGGAAGAGGAGGAGGAGGAGGAGGAGGAGGAGGAGGAGGAGGAGGAGGAGGAGAGGAGGAGGACCTCCTCATCCTCTCTTCTCCCCCGTCCTGCATACTGTATGGCAGCGGTGGTGGAGAATTTGCCCGTCATCTCACGCGCGACCTCGCGCGGGCAGCTTGCGCGTCAACGTCGGCGAAGACGTGCCCGATGTTTTTCTCTCGTCGCTCGGGCGCGCCCGGGCGGGCGAGGGCAGACGACGGCACCACAGCCGCCGGGGGGTCCAGTGCAGGGCCTCTTCCGTGTGGTGCGGGCCCGCCCGTCCTCGCGGCGAACCCGTTTTTTCCTCGGTGCCCGCGCTCGGGGAGTCCGCATGCTCCCTCGGGGGAGGCCAGCCTGCGGGGCTGAGGCTTCCTGCAGCACGCGCTGGCACAGTTTTCCAGCTTCCAGTGTGTGTGGCTCGCCTTCCTGCTTCCTACTGTAACTGGCTGTTGTCCGCGCGAGAGAGGAGGGGGCACAAACTCGTCCTTCCACTTTTTCCTCCTGGGTTCTCCGACTTCCCCGGAGGTCCCAGGTCACGTTCGCGCCCAAGAGGCCACGATCTCTTGGAAATCGCTCCAGGTTCGCGCCCCCGGATCTACAATCGCTCACAATCTACGCCACACTCGCGCACCCGAGGCCACGATCCCTCGTAACTGAACTGAGATTCGCGCACATGGGGCTACGACTTCAGGTAGCTCGCGCCCCTGAGGCCACGATCTCTTGTGAACCACCCCTCATTTGCAGATTCGAAAACAATCCCTTGCAAACTGCACACAATGTTAGCCAGCGTGGGCCCCAAACCATGTGTTTCCAGTACTGCATGTGTGTGCGTACATATGTATACATATTTATATATATATATGTATACATATATATATATATATATAATAGATAGATATATGCAGGGCCCGACCACAACGATGTTTAAAACGAGCTGGCGTTTAGAACGAGCAAAACAACGATCGTTGTACAACGAACGTTTCAAACGAAACCGGTGCAAACGAAAACGAAAAACGAAACGAGGCCATCGCTCATAGAGAAAACCAAACGAAAAACGAAACGAACTTCGCAGACCGCGCTGGAAACAAAACGAAACAAGAAACACATACATGGGACGACAGGCGAGGTTCTGGCTGGGGCTTGAACCAGGCAAAACGACACAACAAAACACACTAAACAACCCATAACGAGAAACGAACCAAGGCTGCGGCGAGGGCTACCGGGCCGGGGCTAGGGCGAGGGGCGAGGTTCCTTTTGTGAGGCACGTGCGGAAACAACCTCGGGCTGCGGCGACGGCTAGGGCCTCGGGGTCCACGGGTCCACGTCGAATGCATGTGTGTAATGACATAGAACGGTGTATATGAATGTATGTACGTACGTATGTATGTATGCATGCATGCATGTATGTACCTATGCGCGTATTACACGTAGTGCGCATGCATGCATGCATGTCTATATCAACGTACGTATACATGAATGAATGTAGGTATGTATGTGTGTGCATGTATGTATGTATGCATGCATGCATGCATGCATGCATGTATGTGTGTATGTACATGTATGTATGTATGTATGTATGTATGTATGCATGTATGGATGCATGTATGCAAGCATGTATGCATGTATGTATGTATGTTTGTGTGTATATGTGTGTGCATGTATGTGATCATGGATGTATGTGTGTATGTGTGTATGTCTATATGTAGATGGGTAGGTGTATGCATGTCTGGGTGTATGCATGCATGTACGTAGTTTGATGTATGTGTGTACCTATGTATGCATTCATGTATGTATGTACGTATGTAAATGTGCGTGTTCGCATGCGCGTATGTGTGCATGTGTGCATGTATGTATGTTCGTCTGCATGTATGTGTATGCATGCATGCATGTATGGATGGGTGTACGTATGTGTGTACGTACGTATGCATGTATATATGCGTGCATGTATGGATGCAGGTCTATGTGTGTATGGATGCATGTGTGTATGTATGCATGTGAATGCAGGTATGGCCGTATGCATGTTTGTATGTATGTGTGTCTGTATGTAGTTGTGCATGTATGGATGTACGTGTTTAAGGATGTATGCATGTCTGTATGTGCGTATAGACGTATGTGCGTTTGTATATCTGGATGTGTGTCCATGGACGTATGTAAGGATGTGTGTATGTATGTATGTATGTATGTATGTATGTATGCATGTGTAGGTTGTGCACTCTATGTGGGTCCGTCAATGTGGTGCACTATAAGCGGTGCAATATGTGTGGTACATCTAGATTATGCAAACTAGAGTGTACACTATGCGTTGTGCAATCTACGTGGTGCACTCTATGTTGTGTTGCCTGTGTGGTGCACTATCTGTGGTCAAATCTCTGTGATGCGCGATCGATGTGGTGCAGTCGTCATAAGGATATCTATGCTGTGTAGCTGATTCTGTACTTGGAATTGACAGCGCCACTGCTTGCGCACTCATGTCACCCACACGCCCGCAGCTTGGTTTGCAAAAGCTATGCGGCGGCGATTGCGATGACTGCTTGGTGCTGACTGGCGAATTTGTGCGGCCGCACCAGCGTCAAAAAGCTCGCGCGCACAGCGGCCAGCTAGCTTGGCACAACCGACGCGGCCGCGGTGGCGCTGACCGAGGGGGATATCCCAGCACGTCTCATAGGTCGGGCGGGAGGAGGAGGCGGGAGGAGGATGGAGGGGTCAGGAAGAGGAAGGACGGGGCGGAGGAGTTGGGAGGGGGGCCGGGTGGGGGTGGAGGAGGTGCGCCCTCTCCCCCCGAGCAGAGCCCTGCCTGCAGCAGCTCCGTCGCCCGCGAGGGGTGCTCCGCGAGCAAAGCACCCTCAGCTCGTGCAAGCACCGCCAGCGCCGCCCGGAAGAAGACCTCACCATGCGGGGGCGGACCGCCAATGCTTGCCATGGCTCGGACGTCCATTCCCAGCTCATGATTGGGTGTCGTACGTTGTTTTGATCTGCAAGATAATTAAGGATGCTCCTCAATTGTCCGTATTTTCTGGCGCTGGCCTCGCCAAACAACAAAAAATCACACGTCCGAGCGATGCCAAGAATGGGCCTGACAGATCGCCCTGGGGCCCTGGGGGCGAGGCGATCCATGGACGAACGGCGGGTGCTGCGCGTCCCATTTGCACCGCCTTACGCAAAGATGGTTGTGCTAATGCCCGGTAGCTGTCGTTACCGGGGGGGGCTCAAGTAACGCTAACGTATAGGCGGGGTGGGGCACGTCGGAACGGGGTTGCACTGCGATCGTCATGTGCGCGGGATTATCAGCATGTGGAGGGGGTCCACGCGTCCCCCCCTCACATTCACGATCGTTACCGTTTACGGTGAGGGGGGCTAGGACGGTTTAAACCAGTTGTTCAAACGCAACCTTGCAGAGAAGGCGGCAAACCGACCATCGTCCCCAAGGCTTGATCGATCGATTCCCCTCCCCCTCCCCCTCCCCCTCCTCCTCCTCCTCCTCCTCCTCCTCCTCCAGCTGCCGTGACAGCTCAAGGCAGCATCACAGCAGCGTCCATGCGGTCCACCAGGGGACCCGTCTGGCATTTGGCCGAACACCCAGCCAGACAGAGGCGGCCCGCTGGCCGATGACCCTCCGCCTCTTGGGGTTTAATCCCCTCCATGCCGCAGGGTCCAGAATGGAAGAGATTATCCTGGCATGCCCCAACATGGACATCATTGCCCTGGCGGGAACCCGCTCGACCCATCGAAAGAGTGAGGAGATTCTTGGACGGCGCATTGCAGGTCATCAAGTCTTGGAGGCAGAAGCAGGAGATGGGCCATATACTAATCGTTCGACTGGACGCGCAGTTATTTTACATCCGTCCTTCTCCCAGAAGCACATTCGCAGGACGTGGGCGAGCCCCCCAGGGGCGTATGGGCGTGCCATGGCAGTGCGACTTCTTAGAGGACCCCTCGATCTGACGATCATCATCCTATACTTTCCCCCCCAGCCGAAGTACGCGAAAGAGACACCTAACTACCTGCAGACGGTAAAGGTGCTCATAGCCTGGTACGATAGTGTACTTTCGGCACTACCATTTCGGAGCACACCACTATTATATGTGGACCTCAACGACGGGCAGGGTATCAGCAGAGCGGCAGGCACATGGCGAGAGGTCGTGACCGACGCCGTGGGAGACGGCCGCAGTCGAGAACATCGTAGAATGGGAGCAGGCGAACGACTTCGACAGGTACATGAGAAACATTTTATGCTGGCTATGAACACACGGTCGGCGGATCTACAACCCACCTTCTTCGGCAATTCTGGCGGTCAGAGTACCATGGATTTTATCCGCGCCCCATTGGGCATGACGGACTTCGTCCAAGTTTGCCACCCTTTGTATCGACTTGGAGCCTCACTTCAAGCATACCGTGGACGTCCCCCCCGAGACCATGTGCCACTGTACATGGAAATGAGATGTGTGAAGGACTGGACCCCGCGAGAGAAGGTATTCAATCCTCCTTGGAATATGGACGCAATTATGGAAGCAGTACGTCGTGGAGACCAGCGACCCGAGTTTTTGAGGGCCGTTCACCAGCAGCTGATGGACAACAAGGATACGTGGCGGGAGCTACTAACGCGTGGACGACCAGACGAGACCTTCGCATTCATCGAATCACTTCTCATTCAGGTGGGACAGCGATTCGTCAAAGCCAAGGTCACGACGGACGAGAGCTATCAGCGAGAAAAAGACGAACGGGAACGGCTACTCCGAGAACGAGCGGAACTTCGACTGGCACGTACTGCAGCGGACGACGAGAAGTTGGCATCTTGTGAGAAGGATTTCTCAACAGCTCAAGCTTCAGCGGCAGGAGCTACAACGTCGACGACGTGAGGACCTTCTGCAGGAAATCGACGACGCCTGGAACAGACGGAAGCTTGCAGAGGCTATGCGACTGACACGACTCGCGGGGGCATGCAGATATGATGCAACAAAAGGGACGGCCGATTGATTCGAGGTGGCGCGTTCACGGAAGCAGAGATCACACAGTATTGGGGCCTCCCTGGCTGCGAGGGCGGCATGCGCGCGTCGCCCAAGACGGTGGCGCAACTCCTGGAACAATATCCTGATCCTGGGCCCGCCTACATTGGTGTCGACGATTGTGAGTTGGCACAGAAGGACGTATGGCGAGTCACACGTTTTTTTTTCGGCGAGCACAAAAACGACGAGCAGTACCACGAGATACTGCGCCGATGGAGCTCTGGTTGATGTGCTTGAACCCCGAGCGTAACATCAAGCACGACGGCTACAGAGTAGGTTTTGATCTTTCACTGCCAGATATGTAATGATTCAAACATTTATGGAAGCAGCTTTTCGGCAGATCCGCTCGACCAACAGGGCGCCAGTGGCATGGCATCACAGCCAGGGCGCTCAGCTTCGGAAGAATGCGACACCTGGTCCCAAGGGTCGTCGAACCGTGCACGTGATGAGCGCCCTGGGCAAAGCTTTTTATCACGATATGCTGTACGTGCCTCATAAGATTTTCGAGCACGGCTTCATCCCTGGCAAGAGGCGAGAGGACGCCATTTTCGTGAATCAGTTGCTAGGTTGGCGGCTTCGGAAGGCAGGCTGCTGTTTTGCCCTGAGTTACAAGGATCTGAGCAACGCTTTCGCGTGTGGGCGGTGGGAGGAGTTGGAGGCGACTATACACATGCACGCACAGCCCGAGAACATAGATCTTTGTATTCAACGTTTCAAGCTCAGCACGATCACTCTTGAGACCCTGGAGGGCGAGGTTGCCTTGAAGACGGGTTAAGGGGGGCTCATGGGGGACCCGTTCGTGGTCCAGCTCTTTCGGGGTACGTTTGCACGACCACTAACGAAATGGAAGTACGCACTGCAGACCCTAGACACTACGGATACTAAGTTAACGGCAAGATGGAGGGACTTGAGAGCTAATGTGGGGGGATGCAGTTACGCCGACGACGTTTTTCAGGCACATCTGGTTCCCGTCCCTATCCCCCTAAAAAACATCCTGGACACGCTGAAGGATTTCGACGACGATCTTGATCAGAAGCTCGGGGAGGTGGGGCATGCTCGGAATCCATCGAAGCAGGAACTCCAGATGTATTTTCATGGGACAGGGGCCGCAACATGTAAAAGGTGGGCGCGGTCCCATCCAGAGTTTGTGCCAGGTAATTTTAAAGACACAGTGCGCTACCTTGGGCCGATCCTGAGTATCAACCAGTCAGTCGAGGTCGAGGTCGGCCGACGCTGTGCAGCGAGCGCAGACTCGTTTTACTCATTGGGTAGAATATGGTCTCTTTCATTGCCGTATCGGTGGATACGGACTCTGTTCATCAACTTTGTGCAGAATACAGCCCTATCGGGCCTCGAACCCCTGCTCCTGGGCCCAGTACACTACGGTAGGCTAGACGGTCAGATCGCACGACTCGGCCGACGGGCGATGCAGGGGCGAGCTACGACTTACCACGAGGACGAAGTAAGATCGATGTCGACGAAAGAGGTATTGGCATACTGGAGGATCGTGTCGTCGGAGACGGAACTCATCATTCGTCGTCTGCATTGGTATGCAGGATGGGCCAAGGACCCCAAGAGGCACTCTCAGGAGCTCTGCCTACTTTTCGGGTTTCTTGAGGTTCCCGGAGATCGAGGTGGGCACCTTGATGGGGACGCACCCTTTACTGCAGCTTCCCCATGGCTCCACAGGCTCCAGAGGGACTTCCAGAGGGCTGCCGAGGACTTGGACGGGGGGCAAGAAGTATGTAGCTACATCAGTGCTAACCATGGGCGATTGACCGACAAGGACGTTTTAGAAGAGCTCTCCCAGTTAGACTTCACGGAGATCCGAGCTCGTGCCCTGTCGCACGCCGTTCCACCGACTCACGTGCAGAAGGTGCCTGAAGCTGTGCCTCCACCCGCTGAGGCCCAGAAGGACTGGACTGACTGGCTGTTCGAGACTGAGATGGGAGAAAAACAAATATGTGGTTGCACATTCTGCGCTCGTCGGGACCTTCTAAACCACATGCGCACTATCCACTCGGTTCGAAATCTCAGTTCGGTCCTCACACCAACAAACACGTGTATCGTGTGCCGACAGACGTTCGGGTGCGAGGGGAATGCGTACAAACATCTTCAACGAGCTATCCTTAAAGGACAATGCCCGAACAGAGGTGCACTCACGCTCCTCCCCGTCCTGCCCGTCCTCTCGCTAAACTGTGTTCTCTGCGACTACCGAGCCGCCGACTTGGACGATATCTGCGTTCACCTCCGTAGCCATCTTCCTCGAGAAGTGGTGCCACCAGCTCCTGTGAACCGTACCGTCGCTACTGATATACTTGGAGTATATGGCCGACCTCGAGGCCCCCGCCTGGCTTCAGACGCCCCCACCTGCTGGGGGACCACCAGACGTGATGAAGGCCAAGGCCGAGGCGCGCGTGGCGCCGCAGGCAGGCAACGGCGACAGCGAGGCCATCGCGAAGCTGGTCATTCTCATCACACTCCTGGTGCTGGCGAACAGCAGGGCCATCACGGCGACGGTATACACTACTCGGGCGCTTTTTCTCACAGATGGAGTCTTCGCAGACGAGATGGAGATCTCAGGCCGACGGCGTCAAGATCGGGCAGGGAAGCGCAAGAAGGGCGAGACCGTGGACTTCAAAGGGTGCGGCCCCCCGCATCTACACATATTTATCTCAGGAATGATGTGGCTGGTCAGGCAGGATACGCCTTGGGGCAAAGCCTTTTTATCTAGAGTACGTGCAGAAGATGACCATTCACGCGGTCGTAGAGGTGGTACTTCACTTGCAACGGAAGCGCGACAAGGGCGAGCAGCAGGCCCCCGAGAAGAAAGACGGTCTCATCGTGGCGATCGATTCCGATCACGTGCTCGGCCGCAAGTGGATCCCGATGCTGCGCGCGGCCATCCTGGACATGACAAAGTTGCTGAACCAGTTGAAGAAGCGAACGTGACTATCCCTGACGATGGCGTGAACATTCAACCTTCAGAAGTACGGCCTCCACATGTGCCGTACCAACCTTCTGAAGTACGGCCTCCATCAGCACTTCATGAGACTGCCCGCCTTCGTGAGCTGATCGCGCAAGGACGCGTACCGCCCGATGTGCTACGAGATAGGACTGCGCCCACCCCTCTTGCATTCCCTACGGCCTACGGCCCCTCTCTCCCGCCCGTCCCCACGGTTCTTTTAAGGCCGACGCCCAGGGGACGTGGACGGGGAGGAGGCGGAAGGAGAGGAGGTGGTCGTGGGCATTCCCAAGGAAGATAAGCTTTTTTCCGTGTTTTTTTTCTCGAGCGGCCCTCGTCCTGTGTATACGTCTCTTGGGCCCCCCCTGAGGCACGTAACCCTGCCACTCCCCTCCCCTCGACCTAGCAGTGCGGTCTCTGGCCCTTGTGGCTCCGTGCTGTTGGGTTGCGGGAGTGGGGTGGGGGGGCTACGGGCTTCTCGCCTTTATGAGGGGGCGCCTGAGGCTAGGTGTAATTCATCGGTCCCCACGGGGCGCCCCCACGGCTGCGTGCCTCGAGCGGGGGTTGCCCCTAATGGGGCAGTGCGGCCCTGCCCGAGCGCAGGGGCCGCCAAGGAAGGTCGACGTTTCACAATGCCACGCCACTCAGAGTTCCATGCGTAGCACGATACAGGGTTTCACACGCCTCGGTCGAGCTGACACGCGAACTCCACGAGCCCGATCCCGATCCCGATCCTCCTCCTCCTCCTCCTCCTCCTCCTCCTCGTCCTCCTCCTCCTCCCAGTCCTCTTCCTCCTCCCCCTCCTCCTTCCTCCTTCCTCCTTCCTCCTTCCTCCTTCCTCCTTCCTCCTTCCTTCTTCCTCCTTCCTCCTCCTCCTCCTCCTCCTCCTCCTGCTGCTCCTCCTCCTCCCCCTCCACGTTTAAAACATATGAGTACTACTCTCCTCTCTCCCCTCGTGGCGTCCGGGAAATGGCCGGCCCCCCTCCGCGTTCTGGTTTTTAACACACAAGATTTCCCGGAAACGGGTTCTCGCTTGGGTTTGTGTTCAAAATGCTACTCTCGCTGAAGCGCTGGCTTCATTTTCGGGCTGCCGCTCGTTCCGAATCGTGCTCCCGCGGCAACGCTGGCTTCATTTCCACGCTTCCGCTCGTTCCGAATCGCGCAGCGCTGGCATCATTATTTCCAGCGCCATGCCACGGCGTTTTCGGTCCTTCCAAATATATTCGAATAGGCCCCATAATCTCGAAAATGGCCTCCCGAAAAAATCATCGGAAGTGATTAGACATTCGGTGTCTATTCGTCTTTTCTCTGGGCCGCAGAAGCCCCCGCCACGCCATGCTATGTCAGGCTACGCGTTCTCATGTCTGCGCTTCCGCGCTTGGGCCTTTGTTCAAAATGCTGCTCTCGCTGAAGCGCTGGCTTCATTTTCGGACTACAACAACTCGTTCCGAATCGTGTTCCCGCTGCAGCGCTGCCTCATTTCCGGGCTTCAGCTCGGTCCGAATCGTGCTCCCGCTGCAGCGCTGGCGCCATTATTTCCAGTGCCATGCCACGGCATGCCTTTCGGTCCTTCCACATAGGCCCCAATTTCTAAAAAATGGCCTCCCGAAGAAACCATCGGAAGTGATTTCACATTCGGTGTCGATTCGTTGATTCTTTGGGCCGCAGAACCCCTCCCCCCACTTTGGGCCGTCGCCACGCCATGTTCTGTCATGCTATGTCATGTGATTATATGCCGTGCTACGACATCCGACTGTGCGAATAGAGAGGAGATCTACGCCATGGTAAGGGATGGGAGTGAGGGATATGACGTCAGGTATGTCGCGAGCGCACCTCCTCCCCCTCCCCCTCCTCCTCCTCCTCCTCCTCCTCCTCCTCCTCCTCCTCCTGCTCCGAACTGCTCCTCCCAGAGGATAGAAACAATCTAGCACAGGCCCTGCGCTCTTGCCAGACGCAGTCGTGCGCTCCAGCAGGCACGACCTGCGAGGGGGAGGGGCAGGACCGAGGAGGGAGGGACAGGATGCGGCGGACGCTGGGAGAGGTCGGCGGCGCGCATGGGGGAGACAAGAGAGAGAGAGAGGGGGCCCGACTTCACTGAAGCCGTATAAGAAGCCGTCTCTTACTCCTCCTCCTCCTCCTTCTTCTCCTCCACCCCCTCCTCGTCCTCGTCCTCGTCCTCCTCCTCCTCCTCCTCCGCCCCCTCCTCCTTGTCCTCCTCCTCCTCCTCCTCCTCCTCCTCCTCCTCCTCCTCCCCATCCTCTTAGTGGCATGAAAGAAGCGGGTCCTGAGGGAAACGGGTCCTGAATACGGGGGCCACCTTCTGAGAAGCCTGCTGAGTCTTCTCCGAGGTGACAGGCGGCTTCTCGGGCGGCGTGGAGGCTTCTGAGAAGCCCCGCCGCGTTCCCCTCTTTCTCGTCCTCCTCCTCCTCCTTCTCCTCCTCCTCCTCCTCCTCCTCCTCCGCCCCCTCCCCCTCGCACAGGAAACCCGACCCCCAGACCCCAGGACGTCCATGGATCTGTGGTGCGGGAGCGGTGCGCTCTCCCCCTCGCAAAACCGTCGAAGCCCAACAAACCCAGGGCACCCTCGATGGGCCTGTTGTCCCACCGACACCATAAGTTGGAGGGGGAGAGGGTCCTCCTCCTCCTCCTCCTCCTCCTCCTCCTCCTCCTCTTACTCCTCTTCGTCCTCCTCCTCCTCCTCCTCCAACTTATGGTGCTGGTGGTGGTGGAAAACAGGCCCATCAACCCTGGAGGCCAGCAGGGTGTTTCTTGGCATGGGTCTCCACTGTGGCGGAGCGAGAATGGAAGAAGGAAGGGGCGCGTCGGGAACCCTCGACCGCTCAACGACATCTGAGCTCTGGGCCTTCGGCGAGCCGTCCAGCAGCCAACACTGATGGCCGTGCTGTTATAAGAGGGTTCGGCCCGCGATCTTCGCGCCGGTGCTAGCACTGGGTGGAATCCTAACCTCTGCTTCGGTGCGAGCCCTTTCCATCGCCTTTGGGAAACGTATGTGCGATCTTTACGACATGCCAGTTTCTACGTATGTGCAAGTACCGATGATGGAATGCAGCACCCGCATATCATTGAGTATGCTGCTCCTCCAAATCCTGAATCATGAATCATGATTCATGGCAATTGTCCTTCCTCCGTCATCCGTCATACCCAGTGCTGGCACTCTTATCTCCCCCTTCCTACACTATTCCTCCTGCTCCTCACGCATCATCTCCTCTACCTGTATTCGCACTCATCCCTCGTCATCGTTCGTCTCATCCCTCCGCGTCCTCCTCATTCTCACCCTTGTCCTCCCCACCACACCCTGGTCGAAAGTACAGTTGCGAAAACAGGGTCACCATCGGGCGCAGCTGTCGAGGGAGCCTGATCGACTCGACTCGAACTTTCGTGCGAAGCACCACGCATGGGAGCAACTTAGAATACGCTGGCGGTCAGGGGGTGATGCGAACGTGAAACGGAGATCCCCCCGCCCCCGTATGGAGATCGATGCCGATACCGGTTCGAGTCGTGCGTGCGTGACGCGCGTGCAGGCGAGGAGAACTGGCGCGACTGCGAGAGAGATATCCTGCCCGACCTATGGGCGGTTCACGCCACAGTGGTTGCCCCCCTTTGCGCGCTTGTGCCAAGGGAAACCCAACTGGGCCGTTCACCTCCTCCCAAACTTCAGAGTTCCCTCGCAAGCTGGTATTCCTCAGTCACCTTCTGTCTATATTCTCTCCGACCCACAGTGGTGAAGAACTTTTGCATAGCGTGTCGCGGCGGCAGCTCTGGCGACATGCTATCCCCTGCGAGTGGGTAGCATGTCGCTCCGCTCCATGGGGCGGGAAGCACGGAAAAGCTCGTGACGTTGACGCTTGGGGACAAGGAAATGGATAGCGTGTCGTGCATAAACGTGGTAGGCCAGAACTGGCGGCGCGACACGCTGACCAACACTTCCCGACCGTAATCCCCCCTCCTCGCATCATTCCATCATCCATCCCTCCTCCCTCTCCGTTCTACCCACCCTCCACGCACACACACACACACACCACCCTCCCCCTTCTCATTTTTGTTTCTCTTCCTTCTGCCTCCTTCTGTCCGCCTCCTCCTCACCATTCCTCTTCCCCCCTCCCGTGCTGCTACGGACTCTGTCTGACCGTCGCTCGGACGTCTACCCATCGAGCATCTCGGCGCCATCATGCTGACGAGGGGGCTACAAACTTGACCACCCCGCTGTCCACTCCCACCTGCATAGCGCCCTTGTTCGCAACCTGTCGGTCACATCGGCCCCAGGATCGAATCGAACAGGCCATGGCTGCGTCCACCCACTCCTCATCCTCCGCGCAATTCCTCCGCTTCCTCCTTCTCATCCTCCACCGACGCTCCGCGATCCTCTCCCTCAGCCTCATTCTCTGACATGTCAGCCAAATCTATCCTCCTCGCCCAGCCCCTCGTGCCCCTGCTCGTCATCGTCCTAGTACTCACCCTCATCATCCCCCCTCCCCATCTCCCCCTCCCTCCACAGCGTCCCACTCCTTTCCCTCCCCCTCTTGCCACTGCACCCCGCTCTCCGCGTCTCCCCATCCAATTGCCCTCCTCCCCCCGCTTTGCCCCGTCGTCGCATCCCTCCTCCTCGGGACCGCTTTGCACCAGGTCGGTCAGGGCCCACTGGTGGGCCAAGGTCGGGGACCCTCTCGAAGGGGTGGATATGTTTGAGATCCCAGCCCACACATCTGAATCGGATGAACGGGAGGGAAAGACCATGGAGTTCCAGAGTTTCGGGAATTCGGAAGCGGACCGTCGGGCTAAGGCGGGAAGACAATCCTTCCGTCTGGCCACGAGCGGTCGCCTACAGATCCGTGGCTGCTGAAAACTTGCGGTCAAGCTCGGTAGGTTCCATGCGTCACAGCAGGTTGAGTGCCGAGAGCTCGCGATGCAGGATCTTCTTGGGCTAGAATTGTCAGGCTACGTTTTGTTGGCCGCCATCCAAAGCCTCCCCATCCCCCTTCCTGGAGGGAAGGAGGATGGTCCGAGGACCCGCAGGCTCCTGCTCCCAGCCAGGCTGATGTAAAAACTGCTGTGCGACCCGTCGCCCTCTCGGCCCCGCCAGCTCCTCCTCCTCCTCCTCCTCCTCCTCCTCGTCCTCCTCCTCCTCCTCCTCCTCCTCCTCCCTCCTCCTCCTCCTCCTCCTCCTCCTCCTCCTCTTCCTCCTCCTCCTCCTCCTCCTCCTCCTCCGCCTCCTCCTCCGCCTCCTCCTCCTCCTCCTCCTCCTCCTCCTCCTCCTCCTCCCCCATCGTCGGCCTCGTCGTCGCCATCCCCCCGCAGAGAGAGACAGAACAGCGCTCCTCCCACAGCCGGCTCAAAGCCGCCCGCGGCCTCGGTTGGGGGCAGACGCGGGGACGAGGACTGGTAGGGCGGGAGGCGCGGGCGGAGTCCATGCCTTCGGCGAGCTTCCAGGAGGAGGAGGAGGAGGAGGAGGAGGAGGAGGAGGACGGAGCAGTCGGGAGGATGAAGATGATGGCCTCGAGGTTTGGCATGGAGATGGAGGCTCGTCCAGGGGCAGGAGGCAGGGGCGGAATCTGGACACACGGCCCTGGGCCGCTGGGGTGCACTGCGCCTGCGGCGGGTTCTTGTCGCGACGAGGCCGCCGGGTCATTCCACACTGGCCGGCTCTGGGCTATACTGACGGCTACTGGCTGACTCGCGGCGGAGTCGCCGCCGCGTCGGCACGACGCGAAGCAAACGTAAGGGAGCCTGCCATCCCCCGCCATCCCCCGACGCGTGCGAGAGGCGAAGCCTCCCGGGGGGATCGACCCTCGGCGACCTCGGCGGGCGGCGGGCCCGTCTTCCCCGCCCCCCCTGTGGACGCACGAAGTGGCACGGAAAAATGGGCAGCATGCCCACCAGCAGGTGTCGTCCAAAATCGGCAGCGGCCGCTGCTGTTGGGCAGGCGTCCTTCTGTCCCCAACGGATACGTAGCGTCCGCGGCGGCGCGGACAGCGACGCCTCTTTTGAATGAACGAGCACTGCTGCCGGGCATCGTACCCGTTGTCTCCGTACCCATTTCGTTTGTGACGACCCTGGGCTCCAACGTGCCCACATCGGCCGCCTGCCGAGGCCCCCCCGAAGCTCGATCCCCCAGGCGGTGGTGGCCACGAACAAGAAACTGCCCTCCTCGGAGCCCGGGGCCGCGGGAAGGTATGAGGGGGCAGGGGCGCGGGGGAGGGACAACAATGGGGAGGTAATCGAGGGGCGCGAGAGAGAGAGAGAGGGAGAGAGAGAGAGAGAGGCAGGGCGGTGAGGGGGAAGGAAGGGGGGGAAGAGGAGGGCGAGAGATGAGCAGGAGCAGGAAGGGGGCAGGGGGTGTGGAGGGGAATGCGGAGGGCGAGGGAGAGGTCAGAAGGGGAGGTATGAAGGGAGGGGAGAGGGGGAGGGGAGGCGGAGGGAGGGGGATGCGGATGCAGAGGGAGGGAATCAGGGCTATGGGGAGGGGGAGGAGGAGGAGGAGGAGGAGGAGGAGGAGGAGGACGACGAGGAGAAGGAGGACGAGGAGCACGACGAGAAGGAGGATAACGAGGACCAGGAACAGTGAGGACGAGGGATGGGGGAGGAAGCTGGGAGATGGACAAGAGGGTGAGTACAAAAAAGGAGGCACCTCCTCCTCCACTCCCTTTCTCCTCCACCCCCTTCCCTCCTGCTCCTCCAGGCGTGTATCCCTCTTCCGTCTTAGCTCTAGCAGCTACTTCAGCTGCCCTCGCCTGGCGAGAGAAGGCGCTCGGAGTGGAACGGTCAGACCGCCCCCTCTGCCTCCTCGGGGGGGAGAAGCCCCAGGAGGTCCCATGCGGGTCCCTGGAGGCACCCAGGTGCCCCAGAGCATCGATCCTCCCTCCCCCTGCCCGCGGGAGGGCGGGGAGAAGGACCCCGACCCTCGCCCTCGAGGCACGCCTGCCTTCTTCTTTCCTTCCCCCCCCCCCGCCCCGCCAAAGCTCACGGCGCAGCTGCCCCTGCTGGCGCTCCCTGGCGCGTCGGAGGCGCGGATGGATCGAGGGAGGGGGCCCCGGCGGCGAGGCCAACACCAGATGCACGCAGGATCCCACCAGCCCTCTGGGCGTACAGTGGAGGCCAGTCCACAAGAGACCTTCCACAGGCAACCCAAGCCTCAGATGGTGTGGTAGCGTCTCGCTCTCCATCGCAAGACCATCGAAACAGAAGACACCCAGGGCATCCTGGAGGCAAGCAGGGTGTTTCTTGGCATGGGCCTCCACTGTAGGTGGTTTGGGGCGTATCCTCTTCCAGCTTCCCCTCTTCCCCTTCGGGAAGGAGATTACCCCTCCCCCGTATTACCCCCCTCTCCTGGACTCGGACGGGGCGCCCCGCGAGGTGTCAGAGGGTCCTCTTGGGCCCCAGATGGCTCCAAGAGTGCCTCAGAGAGCCCAAGATGACCTCCAAGATGGCTCAAGAAAGCCTAAGCTGGCTCATTATGGTTTCCAAGATGCTCCAAGAGGCCCCAAGACCTCTCGAAAACGGCTCCAACTTGCCACGGAGCCTTCCACGGAGGCCCCCGAAGGGTCAAACCCCTACCAAACCGTAAGGAAAATACATGAGTGTTGTCTTCTCGCCTTTTCTGCTCTCGATAGCCTTCCGAGGCCTCAGGATGGCTCCAAGAGGGCCCACGAGGGCCCAAGAGACGCCCAAGGCGGCCCCAAGAGTGCCCCGAGAGCGCTCCAAGAGGGGCCCAAGAGGCGATGGTGGGGGCTTCCGAGGGGGAAGGCTAAAGTAAGGACCCCCTTCTTTGCTCGAGCTCTTCCAAGATGGCTCCAACAGGACTTCTCAGGCCCCCGAGACAGCTCCCAGAGGCTCCCGACAGGCTCCAAGAAGCCCACAAGCGGCCCCCCAAAGGCACCCAAGAGGCTCCCAGCGGCGTACAAGACGTCCCAAGAGGCTCACAATACCGCCAGGAGGCCCCCAAGACGCCCCAAGAGGCCTCCAAGCAAATTTCCAAGAAACATCCCAAGATATTATGAAATACATCCAAAAGGCCTCTGGTATTCTGCTTGGCCTCCTCCTCTCCTCCCTCCTTCCCCTTCCGTGTCCTCCTCCTCCTCCTCCTCCTCAACTTCCTCCTCCTCCTCCTCCTCCTCCTGCTCCTCCTCTTCCTCCTCCTCCTCCTCCTGCTCCTCCTCCTCCTCCTCCTCCTCGTCCTCCTCCTCCTCACCCTCCCACCTCCTCCTCCCCTCACCTCCCTCCTCCCACTCCTCTCCCCCCTCCTAACTCCTCCTGTCCTCCTTTCTCGTTCTCGTCATCCCCTTCGTCCTCATCATCCTCCTCCTCGTCCTCACTCTCTTATCCCCCATCCTCCTTCACTTCCTCGTCCTGTTCCTCTTGCCTCCTCCGCCTCCACCGCCTCATCATCCTTCTCCTCCTTCTCCTCCTCCTCCCCCTCCTCCTCCTTTTCCTTCTCTTCGGCCCCCGCGCGGGCCCGGGGACTGTCCCAACAGGCCCTCCAGGCAGGCCCCCCCCTCGCTCCGAGAGGTTCCTCGTTTCACCCTTGTTGCCCGCGCGCGCTGTCAGACTACATGTGTATCTTCCTCTCTTCCCCCGATAGCTATCATGGGCATCGGTTCTGGATGGGTTGGTGGGGGCACTTTTTATGTTTTGTTCGCGAGCGCGCAGGTGTGCCAGGCGCCGTCAAAGCGAAGCAGCAAGCCACGATCTAAATTAAGTCAGCGCGCAGGCGACCTACGCAAGCTGGTGGGGACACTTTTTGGTCTACGGGCTCGCGAAGCAGGTCGAAAGCCGTCCGAACACTAACCGAGCCGCGACTATGCAGCAAGAAAAAGGAGGCAGGCGAAGCGAGCGCGGGGGCAGCCACTCAGAAGAAGAGCCAGAAACGAAACTCCCAACTCGGTGGCGTGAGGATCCCGGTGGCGATCATCAAGTAGGCGCGGCCAAAATGGCGCGGCGGCGCGGCTGGTGGGGACACTTTTTTGGGGTCGGCGGCTCCCAGGCGACGGTCTAGGAGCGGAAGCGGCGTCCGGGATGCGGCACGGTGCGAATTTGCGAACACACTGGTGGGGACACGTGAAGCGTCAAGAATTTCGCATCGTCCCCGCTATCCTCCCCAAATGGGCCGGACAGGCTGAGGGAGGGAAACGTTGACGTGGAATCTGCGGCACGTCGCCGATGCATCGGAACTGGACCCTCGATAGGGGATCCACGCGTTCCCGGGCAAACGCTGAAAAAGAAAACGATGGAGCTCTCCTGGTCAAGGCTCGGCAACTCAGAGGTCACACGGCCCAGACGTCGAAAGCGAGGCGAAAGCCGAGGCCCCTCTGGAACCCAAACCTGGCCCTTACTGCAGCGTCTTCACCGTACGCCTCCCCATGTTGGCCAGTCCCCCCCCGTCCCACAAGTAGCGAACGTATCCATTTCCACGCTCTCGCGGTCGGAATTCCGAGGCGCGATCCCGCGGATGCGCGATCGCACGGATACGCTCCGCGCAGGAGGTCACCCGCGAAAACATGCTTCCTCCTTGGATGCAGCGGCTTGTTGCAAAATTATCGCGAAAAGACGCCCGATATCCGCGGGGTCGCGGCCCAGGGGCCCGCCCCACGGTCGGGAACTTTTGCTTGGCACGTGCTGTGCCGTGCAAGCGGGCAGCGTGCACGCCGCACTCCGCGGGGCGGTGGGGCGGGAGGCTCGGAACGGGTCGGGGCGTCGGAGCCTGGGGACCGAGAAGCGGATCGCGTGTCGCGCGCCGAAGCGTGGTGGGCCCGAACCGGCGGAGCGACACACTCGGGGATGGGCAGGCCTCCCTTTGGGAAAACGTGGTTTAGTGAAAACGACCTCGGGCCCAAACCTGGCGGGCGCAAGCCTGGAAAATAACGGCCGCGACGCCCTCTCGTGAACCGGAAACGGACAATTCACTAATCGACGTGTCAGGGTAGGAGATCTGTCCACCCCCGACACACCAGAAAGACATCCCGACCGCATGCTTGCCAGCGGGGCGCCGAAAACCAAAGAGACGCCGAAGACCAAGAGAGCGCCGAAAACCAGAGCAGCGCAGGAAACCAAGAGGGCACCGAAAAAAACAAAGAGCGCCGAAACACCAAAAGGCGCCGAAAACCAAAGACTCGTCGAACTTGAAAAGGACGCAGAAAACCAAATGGGCACCGAAAACCAAAGGAGCGCCGACAACCAAAGAGGCGCCGAACACTGAGGATGCGCCGAACACCGAGGGTGCGCAGGAGACCAAAACGTGCAAAACTCAAAGGAGCGCCGAAGACCACAGGAGCGCCGAAAACGAAAGGAGCGCCGAAAACCAACGAGGCGCCGAAAACCAAAGGGGCGCCAAAGGCCAAAGGGGCGCCGAAAACCAAAGAGGCGCCGAACATCAAACAGACGCCGAACACCACAAGCACGCCAAAAACCAACGCGGCGCCGAAAACCAAAGGAGAAAATCAGCTCCGAAAACCCCTCTCAGCCAGGGACCTCCAGCTGGAGAAGCGAACATAAGGAGAAGAGGGAGGTAGCTTCGGAAACCACCCCTCCTTTGGAAAGAAGAGCCCAGGCTTACCCCGGGCCCTTCTTTCCAAGCCCCCCTTCTTTAGCCAGGGACCACCCAGCTACAAAATCCAAACGAAAGGAGGGGTATAACTTCGGAAGCCCTGGGATGACCTTGGGCTGACCTTGGGCTCAAAAGCCCGGGCTGACCTTGGGCTCAAAAGAAGGGAGGGGGTAGCTTGGAAGGCCCCCCCCCGAAATGTCCACGGAAGGAAGGGAGGGGTGGTAGCTTCGAAAGGCCCCCCCTTTTCCAAGAAAGGGAGGGGGGGGCAGCCCCCTTCCCCCCGCGCCCTTGAGTTCTTTCCTTGTGCCCAATTGGGCTCCGATGTGCCCCCAGGCTGTCCCGACCGCGTCCTGGACGCAGGCCGCCGCTGCCAGACTCGTCCGACTCGTCCGACCCGAGCGTCGGACTCGATGCCAACGGGAAAACCAAGAGGCACCGATACCGCTGCTCCCCCGACCTCTCCCGGGGGTGCGTTCTGACAAGAAGTACGAGCGCCTCCCAGGGGGCCGAACAAGTGGGAAACGACGCACGGCTAGCGATATGGGTACTTTTTCCTCTTCTGAATCGAGCAGGGGATCGGCTATCGGCTACAACATTGATTTACCCCAACAGTGATCCGTTCGTCGAATCTACGAAGCGTGCGTCGATTGGTGGTCGAATCCCCGGAAACTGCGACGTACTCGCCGCCGGTGCGACGAGCGAACAATTCTGGGGTGCGTCGACTCTGTAGCCGCTGCCCCACTCGGCCGACGGCGACCGAGCGGCCCGCAGCGGCGCGCAGCCCACGAAGAGCGTGCGGAGCCACGGCAGGCAGCCGCCGCAGAGCCGCTCCAGCTCGGCCCCGAGGTGCGCGGCCAGGCGCGGCAGCCGCGAGCGCGCCAGCCTCTCTCGCCGCGGCGGGGCGGGCTGCGCTCACTGACGGGTCGAGCCTGGGCCCGAAGAGCATCTCTCAAGAACGTGCGGCACTCCGTCGGCCAAATCGGACAGAACAGCCAAGGGTACCCTCCCCGGGATGCACAGGAACAATCAACAGACACGACGAGCACCAAGGTGCCCTCCCCGAACCGACCTCGATCTTATGCCTCGGTCCGGCTGCACGTTCGAGCGGCGTCGGCGCGCGCAAAGGTTTCTGACGCCGCGCCGACCGTTCAACGTGGAATCGATCGGTGCCCCGATCGTTCAAAGTTGAATTCCGTCGGGAACAGTTGCGTCACCGTGTCAATTCGCCGCGTCGCAGACTTCAACCTTGAACGCCTTCGCCGGCTTCGTGGGCGCGCCAACGCCGCATGGGCCTACCGTGCCCACCGAATAAGCCCAGCGGCAGACAGCAGCAGAAAGTGGCACTGGGGGCGGGAAGGGGGGAGAATTAAGACGACGCCAGGACGAGGATAGAGTCGGGCGTGGGCAGACCGAGGGTCTCTGAGATCCGGCGGCTCTGTAGGACGTCTCGGGCGCCGCGGCCTTCTCGGAGCCTTCCGGAACGCTCGGAACGCGTCCTGGAACGCTCCGGAACGGATTAGTCCTCTCGTCCCGGCCCCGTCTCGAGGGGAGGGGGAGGAGAAGGGGGGGGGGCGGGCGAGACACGCGGCCTGCGCACGGGCCGCCCAGATTCCGCATGCTGGTCCAGCGGCCCTGGGTGCTGCACCAGGCGCGCGCGCGCGCAGCGCCGCGCGCCAGCTGCGCAGGCAGGATTTAACAGTTTATGTCCATATCCGGTGCGTCTTGGACTCTCTTGGAAGGGGCGCCACAAGGCCGAGAGGCGCTCTGGACATGGATGAGAACCGAGCCTCCGAGTCGAAGGGGCAACCTGGTCCGTATCACATCCGGGGCGGGGGGAGGGGCCCCGAAACTCCACACCTGCAGTGGAGATGGACAGAAGCGCTGCCCGCAAGCCGCTCTCGCGCCCGCCAGCCCCAAACAGCACGGCTGCCGCTCGTGGCGGCAGCGCCGCGGGCTGGCTGCACGCCGGCGCGGCCCTCGGCCGGCAGGGAGCGGCGCCCCCAGGGTGCCGGGCACGCCTCTCCCGGAGGCTTCTGCTCGTTGGCCCCGAGGTTGCCGCGCCTCGGGAGGCTCTCCGGGGCTAACCGCGCCGGACGGCTGCCCGAGGCCTTCTGGAGCGGTGGCCCGATGGCCGCCAGGCCCGAGCAGGAGATGACCTTCGGCCTGCGGCTCGTCGATCGCCGCACCCGGTGCGGCAGGTGGCGGCCCGCACCCGGGCCGGGCCCCCCGCGCGCCCCCCCATGGAGGTCCGCGGGAGAGGCGCTGGCACCGGGCGTTTGGCCCTGATTCGGACCCGGCGCAGGGTCGGGCATGAGGGGCAGGCAGCCGCACAGCGACAGAGAACCTCATCGGTCGGTGATCCACCCACGGCTGTCCTCCTAGACTGTCCCGCCGCCCCGCGGAGGACGGGGAACTGCTGTGGTTTGCGACGTTGGGGGGCTCCCGCGAGGGGAGGAGGCCTCTTGATGGCATCTTGGGACCTCCAGGCGGCGCCTCGGAAAGCCCCTGGAGGCATTACGAAGGCATTGTGGGGCTCTGTTGGGGGCATCTTGGGCCATCCCGGGGGCCACACGTGGAAGCATCTGGGTGCCTTCACGATTGGGTGTGTTAGAGACCTCTGCGGGTCGGGGAGCGGATTTTACGAGGACTGGAGCTCGCCGTATTTTTTACTGGGCTGATTCGATTTCCCGGAGTCGGTATCAGAAGGTGCGATGGTGAGTGAGCCTCACATCATCTCGCGCTGGGGATCAGATACTTCCTGGGCGCGAGCCTCAAACTTGAACCACCCCTTGACTCATGTGAGAAGGTGTTTGGACCCCGGCTTGTGGCAGAGAAGTGGAGTCGCATTATACCTGGACCTCTCCTTTTTTAGCACGCTTTCGGCCACGATGCTGCGGGGTCGAAAGCCGAGCGCACACACTTTCAGCTCAAATACGGGAAGAGAACGAAAGGCGACACGTCAAGGAAGGACGAGGAAGATGGGGGAGGAAAAGAGAAGATGGTTGGGAGAGAACATGGATAATGGCGACTGGTACAAGGACAAGGATGCGGAGAGGGAGGATAATACATAGAAGAAGGAAAAGGAGGAGGCAGACGAGGACAAGGAGTCGGAGAAGGAGGGGGTGCAAAAGGAAACTGTGGTGGGTGGGGAGGGGGGGAACGAGTTGGGAGTAGGAAGACAATAGAGGAGTGGAGAACGATCAGGAACATGAGTAGGGGAGAGTGAGAGGGCAAGCGCGGGGTGCAGTCGGAAGAGAGCGAAGGCAGAACGAGGATAGAGGAAGGAGGTGGCAGTGAAAAGGGGAGGGACATGAAGGAGGAGGGAGGGGGGGGTCGGAGGGGGGCCAGTCGAGACAACAACTGCGTCCTGTTTGCGCCGCATCGATGTTTCCCGTCGATGCGGCTGGATCCGCCTCGACAAACGGGTCAGGAGAGTCAGGATGGGCCCGACGACGAAGACCACGACGACGACGACGCGTGGACGACGCGGTCGAGAAACCTCCCGTCGTCGTCGCGGTCGTCGTGCCCACCTCGGCTGTCTCGATGCCTCCCCCCAAATCCCGCCCCCCCGGTTGAGCAGGGACCGACCGTCCCAGCATTCCTATAGGCCGACGCCAACAATGTTTTAAGAACGGAAGCCGTGCTCTTAGAACATAAGCCCGATGAGTTAAAACAAGACAGTCCCAGCCAGAAGTGTTCTGAGAACCTGTCGCTGAAGCCACCTAAGGTTCTTAGAACACTCTTTGGTAGGTCTAGAGGCGAGCCGGGACGCTTCGCCACTGCTTGACCCTGGCCCGCCCCGCGCCGGCCTCGCGAGCGCGGCCACCGCCGGCGGCCCCGCGCGCGGGCCGACGGTGCCGTCCCAGGGCCGCGCGTCGCAGAGGTCCGTCACCGCCAGCAGCAGCCGGAGGGCCTCGGCCTCCACCTGAGCGCCGAGGCGGGGAGGGGTCCTGCAGTCGAGGTCTGAGCAGAGACGGCGCGCCCTCCGAGGAGGAGGAGGAGGAGGAGCAGGAGGAGGGAGGAGGGAGGAGCAGGAGAGGGAGGAGGGAGGAGGGAGGGAGGAGGGAGGGGGGAGGGAGGAGGAGGGAGGAGGGAGGAGAGAGAGGAGGGAGGAGGAGGGGGGAGGAGGAGGAGGGGAGGAGGGAGGAGGAGGAGGAGGAGGGAGGAGGAGGAGGAGGAGGAGGAGGAGGAGGAGGAGGAGGAGGAGGAGGAGGAGGAGGAGGACGGGTCGCCTGAGCCCTTCGGAGAAACCCTCCACGGGTGCCCCGCCTCTTCTCCGGCGCGCCGCCGAGCCCCCCGCGGGCCGCCCCCGTCCCGACGGCCGCGCGCCGCCGACCCCGGGGGCCACACGCGTCCTCCGAGGGCCACCATGAGCGACGATCAGAAACGGGTCTTGCGCGGGACGACGCGTTGACCTCGCGCCGCGGCTTCCACGGGCCGCTGGCGCGGCACGCTACATTGGAGACGCAGGCGCTTACGCGCGACCGTACGCGGGCAGCTTACCCGCCAGCGTCGGCGAAGACGACCCCGTTCGTTTGCGTCGCTCACATGGCCTCTGACCCAGGGTGCCCTTGCCCGGAGAATGCAGCCGACATGGAACGGCATGCACAGGGGCACAAGGGCACCCTTGATTTGGACGGCAACGATCTCCACCTGAGCGGCGAGGAGAATGAGCATGATTTCACCGACCCCTATCCCCACGGGCGTGGCCTGGGCCCCACTGGCCGATGTAACCCCCCAGATAGGGGCATCGGTTGTTCCCTTCGAGTCTCGGGGGCCTATCCCAAACTGGGGTGGCGGGATGGTGGGGATCGGGATCGGGGCGGGATAGGGATTGGTGATCGGTGAAACGATACTGACAGAACGGGGTCTTACGCACGACATCATGGCGACCTTACGCCACGGCTTGCGCGGGCCGCCAGCGCGGCACGCTGCAACGGAGATGAGGGCGCGCACGTACACGCAACCTTGCGCGGGAAGCATACGCGCGGATGTCGGCGCCGTCGGACCTGTTTGTCGGCGTCGCTCACCTGTCGGGGAGGGAGCGGCCCTCGGGTCGAGAACTTCTAGAGGGTCGTACCAATTCCATCGCTCTTCTTGCCGCCCCTGCTCCTTTGGCATTCGTATTTCCTGGACACACTCGCGTCGGCGGCCACCCTTGGTCACGTCTTGTTGTGCCCAACGACTTCTGCCGAACGGAACCTCTAGTCTGCAGGCGGCCTGAGAAGCCGTGCGGGCGCAGAAGCTCGACTGCGACTTCGGGACAGTTGGCTGCGATCGTGTGGCAGAACGAGCTCCCACTGCGACGCAAGAAAGCATATCGTGACGGCAAATGGTTGTCGACGGTTTTGGCCCTCGGAGGCCGATTAGCGGCCCCAGGACCGCCGAAGACGACTTGGAGAGAAAAAGGCGACCCCGAAAAAAATGTCGAGATCCCATGTACAAAGCGAGAAGGGGGACGGGGAAGAATGCCAAGGGCGAGGGATCTAGATTGAAGGCTCGAGGATCTCGGGTTCTGATCGTGGGAGCCTCGATGAGCCCGAGGGGATCTGCGGGGAGGGGGGGGGGCTTGTCGGCCGTGGCAGCATGCGGCGCGGAATCTATGCGGAGGATCCGCAGGAGGTGGAATGGCCAGATGAGGTCGCGCGTTGTAATCCTCGAACGGATTGGTTTGACCAGGCGGAGCCCGGACCGAGTCGTGCCTCGGGCCACGTCGATGCACGGAGGGCTCCCGTGAGGCAGGCTACCTCGAGCCACCTTGGCGAAGGAAAGGAATGAGAGGGGGAGTCGGTGAGTGGGTGAGGCGCTCCCCAAACCAGATCCATGAACTGCCTAATGAGACTAATGAGATCGAAAGTCCAGCGTACGGAAACCTTCTCCTCGCCACCACGGTACGACAGGAGGCGGACGTAGAAGGAGCGGAGGAGCTGGCAATCACTGGAGCCCTCCGGGTTGAAGGAGGAGGAGGAGGAGGAGAAAAACTGGCCACGAACACGAGGAGGCGTACGGAGTCTCCACCGGTACTGCCCCCCCGCACCTCGGCATCTTCGCTGTCATCCGCGCGCTCTTCCTCCGCGAGCGACAGCGCGAAGGCCGCAATCGCGTCGAGGCCTCCGGCGGCGCCTCCTCCACCTCCTCGGGCTGGTCAGCCACTGGTCCTCCTGCGCCTCTTCCTCGTCCTTCTGCTCCCTGTCCTCTTGCCCCTCCTGCTCCCCGTCTCCGCCTCACCATCCTCCCGGCCCTCTTCCTGCTCGACATCACCGTCGCCTCGCGATCCTTCCGAGCTGCTCCTCGTCCTCCTCCACTCGCTTCTCCTTGGAGGAGGAGGCTCCCGGAGGAGGCAGGCTCAAGGAAGCGTGGGAGACCACCGGCGGCGACGCTGGCGGCGGCGCAGGCTGCGGGTGACCGTGCCACTCGACAGGCAAGACGCGGCGGAGGCGGGCTGTGGCGGGCGGAGGCGGCTCGGCCCGATCCTCAGTAGAGTAGACTAGGCTAGGGCAGAAAAGATAGGATGGGGTCGAATGGAGCAGAGCAGGCTAAGGTAGATGGCAGACTAGAGTCGGGTAGAATAGAGTATATTATAATGACATTTAGTCCACCACAACCCAGTCCAGTATACTCCAGTCCAATCTCCTTCAGGCCACTGGATTCCACTTAATTTCGCATTTCGGCCTTCTGATCTATTTGAGGTCTGCGCTGGCTGATGTTTACCTTTCCCCCGTCCCGCCCGCAAGCCGAAAGGACCATTCAAGGTGCATGGCGCAAAGTGCCAATGTCGTCTTGCACATGCATACATCCTCTGGTCGATAGTGCTTCCTCCTCGTGCATGAAAAACCATCGGTCCCACTGGATCACTTCGCGTGTGGAAAAGGCTCGTGGGCCCCATTGATTTGTTGAATAGATCCACTGTTTTGGCGTGACATGCTCGTGGATCCCATTCGTTCGCTGAAGCAAGAATTGCTACATCCGTATACGCACATACATGCGATTGAACATGAGAGTTGATAAGTTCATACGCCACCGTGCCGCTGGGGACGGAGTGGAGGAGGAGTGGAGGAGGAGGGAGGGAGGGAGGAGGAGGAGGAGGAGGAGGAGGAGGAGGAGAAGGAGGAGGAGAAGGAGGAGGAGGCGTGTCCTCAGGTCCTTTGCCTAATTCTCCCAGCCTCACTCCTCACTCCTGAGGACTCTTGAAGGGACCTGGACCCCTCGCTCTCAAGTCTCCCGGAGCTTGGCGCGTGCCCGCTGGGGCATCCCGCGTGCCCCTTGGGCTCTGGGAGATGGCCTCGCATGCCCTGCTCTGGCCCAAGAGGGCCCCAGGGCGGGCCTGGAGGGCCCCAAGAAGCTAACGATGCCTCCAAGAGGCCTCCGTAGAGGGCCCCAAGAAGCCAAACTCATTGATTTCCCTACGGTTTTTGTATGATTGGGGCGTTCCCGCCTTGTCGGCTTCCCGACGCTCCCAAACGGCCCTAGAGGCCCCCACGACCGCGCAAAGACTGCCCAAGAGGCCCCCAAGAGGGCCCCAAGACTGTCTTAGAGGGCTCAATACAACCCAGGAGGCGCCCAAAACTGCCCAATAGGGCCCTCCAGAAAGGGCCCCAAAGAGGGAACACGAACCGAAAATCCAAGTCTTCTGGCCCCCCCCCCCAAACCCCCAACGGATGACCAAACTGCCATCTCAAATTGGAGGACCAGACGTGCAATCTTCTGCTATTGTGGTTAGTTGTTTTTTTTTTGTTGTTTTTGATTCGTGTTTGTTGATACCCCTCTCCGGTAACCATTTTTCAATGAAGGTGTTGATCCCCGGACTCACACCCTGCCTTTTAGAAGGGAAAGTAAGGTGTCACCAAACTGTGCCCCTGGCCCCCACTCTCCAACAACAACAGCAATCATCATCTTAAGACTTTTCGCTCTTATCTGCTCGAGCGTCATTCAACGTGTATTTCCCCAAACCCTCGATACCCGCCCTCTTCGTCTTCGATGGTAACCCCTTTACGGGGGGTGCATACTTCTTCCATGCAGGCCTGGCCCCGGCAAACGGCGGGGCGGCCGCGAACTGTCGGCCTGGCCAGCGGCACCGCTGATCGGCGGCAGCCCGACCCCAAAAAGGAACGGACAGGGGACCGACCACGACGACGACGAACGACGACGACGACGAGCGAAAGCGAGAGCGACACGGGGGCCACGAAGGGCAGCAAGGGGGCCACGAACGGCGACAGCGGGGCCACGAAAGGCATGCGTATGGGGCCACGACGGGCGTGAACGAGCGGGGGCCACGAAGGGCAGATAATGCGGGGCCACAGAAGAGCAACGACGGGGCCACTGAGGGCAGCAACGGGGCCACGTAGGGTAGCGAGAAGGCCACGAACGGCTGCAACGGGGCCACGAAGGGCACGCATATGGGGCCACGACAGGCGCGAACGAGCGGGGGCCACGTAGGGCATACGTATATTGGGCCGCAGAAAGCGAGGACGGGGCCACTAAGGGCAGCAACGGGACCACGAAGGGCAGCGAGGGGGCCACGAGGGGCCAGGCGACAGGAGGGCCACGGGCCACGAAACGCATGCATATGGGGCCAATACAGGGGCGAACGAGCGGGGGCCAAGAAGGGCATACATATCTATACACATATATATATATATATACAAGATTGCATTGGCGCTTCGCGCCATGCGCCTTATTCCGGACGCTTCCATGGCAAAGCAATAAATCATAGCTTTCTTCAGCAGGAAGGACCTCGAGGCCTGGACGGGCGACCCGCCCATTTTTCCGATATCCCGGGTGCCTGCTGACACCACTTTCGGACGATGCGCTGGCACGCTTGTGCGCAGGAGTGGGGAAATCATGCTGATTTTTTCGCGCGCGAACACACATGAGCGTTCCCATGACACGCCGAAGAAGTCACAGTAGCTCCGAACACATCATTTTTTGATCGCTTCCCGAATGCCTGGAGGGCTCCAGGCACTCAGGAAATCTTCGATCGTCGGATTTCGAATCTAGATCCATTGCCTGTCTCTCTCGATCGGGGAGCTACTGAAACCTCGAGCCTCAAGCGTGGAACCAAGATCGTCGGGTCAGCTTGATGTATTTCGTAGGAGAACGCCGTCTGGTCGTTTTTGGTGCTCTTTGGTGCCGTCCTGGGGCGCTCTTGGGCCGTCCTGGGGGCTTCTTGGGCCGCCTTGGGGAGCTGAGGCCCTCCAGAGGTCTTCTGAAGCCATCTAGGGCCCTCCTGCGGGCCTGCAGTGGCGTTCTTGAAGTATCCATGGCTTTCGTGGGTCTCTCTTGGGAGCCTTCTGGGGGCATCTTGGGCTTCTTGTGGGCAGTCTCGGGGCTCTCTGAGGCAGTCTTGGGGCCCCGTTGGGCCGCCTTCAAGCCCTCTAGGGGGCCTCCCGGGCCGTCTCGGGGCGAGATTGGGGGCCCATTGGGCCGTCTTGGACGCTGCGAAGACCCAAAAAGCGGATATGCACAACAAATGTATTTCCTGAGGGAATGTGACGAGTTTGGCTTCTTCGGGGCTCTCTTAACGGCCTCTTGGGGTGTCTTGGGGGCCTCTTGGGCCGTCTTCAGACCATCGAAGTTCCTCTTGGAGCGCTCTTATGCTGTCTTGGGTCTCTCTTGCGCCTCTCCGACGACCCCTCTAATCGCCTTCAGTCGGCTCGCAAGGCCCAGCGAGGAGCCCTGGGAGGCCCGGAAGGGCCACCGAACCTTTTCCAAGGGCGTCCAGGGGGCCGCCGAGACGTCCGAAAGGGCGTCCGGAGCGTCCCTTGGAGGAAGATCCGGTTTAGGGGGGGGGGTCCGGGGGGTAGGGGGTGGGGGGGTTCCAAGTAATAAAAATGTAAGAATAGGAATAGACACACACACACACAAGTGGCACGTGTGTGCCCAGGCTCATAGAAAAAAACTGAAGGGGCGTTTGAAGCAGGAGTGAAATGCAACAGAGAAGTCGCACTCGAGCGCAAGTGGGGTTGTCACACCTTGCGATGTGTGTACCAGGGCCCCCCAGGAAGCCTCAGGAGGCCCGATTTGGATACCAGAAGAGGCTCCAGGAGGCCCCAGGATCGTGAGTGTTGTGTGTGTGTGTGATGTGTGTGCTCTGTATTGTGCGTGTTTTTTTGTGCGTTGTAGGTGTTGTGTGTGTGTGTGTGTGTGTGCGTTATGTTTGTCTAGCGTGTGATGTGTTGGGCGTGATTTGTGTCTCTGTGTGTGCATGTAGTTCTGAGGCCCCGGGAGGCCCCTGGCGGCCTCAGGAGGCCCCAGGAGACCCCAGGAGGCTTCAGGAGGCCCCAAGAGGCTCCAGGAGGCCGCAGGAGGCCCCAGGAGGCCCCAGGAGGTTTCAAGAGTCCCCCAGGGGGCTCCGAGGCGGGGTCTGGGGGTACCAGAAGGTTCAGAAAGCCCCAGGAGGCCCCAGGAGGTTCCAGGAGGCCCCCAGGAGGCTCTGAGGCGGGGTCTGGGGTACCAGAGGGTACGGCGGGGCTCGATTTTGGGAGGATGTTTCAGGCGAAACCGCCAATCGCTGAGAATCGGGGTCAAAATTATTGAAATTACCATGCGTGCTTGAACGTTTTATGTTAATATGTTGAAATTCCCATGTGTGTTTGGACCCTGACGTCACGATCTGCGTGGGGGGTGCCACCGAATTTCGAGGATGTCCCTAGCGAAACGGCCAGAAACATCGCGGACGCATTCATCGCCTCTGAGCTCTACTCCCTCGGAGAGGTGGGTAATATAATATCTGTATATAAATACATATATATACATGTATATAAATACATAAATAAATGTATATGTATATACGCACAAGACTGCAGTGGCGCTTCGCGCCATGAACCTTGGTCCTTGAGATCTGGTACGCAGGCGGAATAGCAAGAAAATCAAGCCGACTATTTAGCGATGACTCCTTGTTGCCTTTTCCGGCATCGCCGCTATAATACTATTCTTCGTTATCCTTCCTCCATGCTTCTTGTTTCTGTTTTTCGCCATATCCTGCGCATTCTCCCCATCCTCCTCAGCTCTGTTTTGCGGAGGCTCCTCCTTGGAGAGCCTCTGGGGGCCTCACAAAAATTGTTTCAAGCGTTCTTAAGGCCTTCTGGAGGCCTCCTGGGCGTATTCTGGGG